TTTTCAGGCTGTCTTTCAGCAATGTGCATTTGGATTTAAACTAATCCAACTATAAATTAGATGGAAGATAATAAACTGATGGTATAATGCAGGCAAATTAAATAAAAGAATGATAACAAGGTTATTATCAAATTATTTAAAGGTAATTAAGTAAGAATATTATTAACAATAAAATACAAATTTCACCTCAAAACACATGATCATCTAAGTATAAAATGGCAGAGCAAAGCAGAGTGGTTTGCCTGCCAATCATTCATCAAAGCGTGTTTGCATTCTTTTTTCCAAGGTAAAAACATAGTGATGGAAAGGAAGTAAAAAACATTAGACTCACATCCACCTATCGTAATTAAATTTTAATGTAGTGACTTAATTATTATAGTGATAAAATCATCAAAATTATAATTTAATCACTAATTATCTGATTATTAAATAATTTAAATTATTATGTTTGATGTATTATTATAAATTATTGGTAGATAATATTACATAAAAAAATTAAAACACCCAAATTAATCTTAGTATTAATTAATAATAAAATTAATTCAATATAATTATATTTTTATTATTTTAAAAATATTTTTAATACTAAATAATTGATTTGATGGGATCTTATATTCATGATCGTAAGTTAGATGTTTAACGTATGGAAGAAGGTGAGAGGAAATTTCATCCGAAAATACCAGTGCAAGCTTGTCAGTGGTCTTCACGCTTCAATATTGCTATCAGTTGTCGTGCATTTCTACTCACGTCAAGTCATTGTGAGTCGGATATTTAACGTATGGAAGAAGTTGAGAGGAAGTTTCATCCGAAAATATCAGTACAAACCTGTCAGTGGGCTTCACGCTTTAATATTGCTATCAATTGTTGTGCATTTCTACTCATGCCAGGTCTCCGTCAACTGATCTGAAACTGCAGTTGATAGGCATGGGACGTGGGGACGGAGCCACCAATAAGGAAAGTTGTACCGAAGACAACTTCGAAGACAACCATAGAAATTAATTTTTTTTTATAAATGAAAAAACAGAAAACCTGTTACCAGTCAATTTTTCGAAAAATAAATTTAAATAACTTTTTATATAATTCTGTAATTTTTATATACAAAGCTAAGAGAGATTTTTAATATTTTTTACATCAAAACTAAGGTAGTGTAGAGTGTTATGCACTTATCATGAAGTTCGCATAGTTGATCGTCATATTCATCCATTGATAAAATTAATAAATTCGATAATAATATATTATATAATTTATATATAAAAGTAAAATTTTTTAAAATATTACAAATGATTGATTTAAATATTTTTATAAAATTTTAAATTAATAAATTTATCTTTAATTATATAATTTTTATTAAATTTTTAAGTTTAAAATAGAGTATGTGAAATTAAACTATTTAAAATTTTAAAATTTTTGAAATTTTAATTCTTAAAGTATTAAAAATAATTGACTAAAATATTTTTAGTACATTTTTAATAAATTTTAATTTAAATAATTTTTTCTTATTAAACTTCTTTTTTATAATTACACCAAAAAAGTACTAAAAATAAATGATTAAAATACTGTAAATAAAATCTTAATTTCAAAAATATTAAAAATGATTTATTAAAGTATCATAATAAAATTTTTTATAAATTTTAATTTAAATGAATTTTTTATTATTAGACTCCTTTTTATAATTAAATCATTGAAGCATATTTGGTTTTTCTCCTTTTTTTTTCTTTTTAGTTTTTTGTTTTAATTAATTTGCTAACTATAGACGTATCTTAATGATTTTATTGTCTGTATGTTTTATGAGTTGATCATTTAAATATTGATAAAATAATTAAATTATTTTAATCTTTTGAAATAAGTCAAAAGATAAATTAATTAAATCATTTTATTTCATTTTAATTTTTGAAATTTTGTAAGTAATATTTTTATATAACAAAAGTTTATGTATAATAAAATTTTTAAACAAAATAAATTTTAAGTTTTTAATTGGTAAAATGTACAATTACACTCAATTTATGGAAACACTAATGGAAGATTATCCTAAGCAAAAAAAAAAAAAGCAGACGAAAGATTAACTAGTTATGAATAGCTCTATCTTTTTTATATGACAAATAATATTAGTATTATATAATATTTTAATAAAAAATATACAAATTTATTGATTTCAAATTTTTTTAGGATCAATATGAAATCCTTTTATCAGGAGAAATATTGTATGTTCCTTCATTTTCTTCATTAAATAAATTGAAGAATATTCATGATTATATCAAAATGTTAAGATTATCATATTGGATAATATTTGTTTAAAATTATTGCAATTCATTAATTAATTATCACTATTACATTTAATAAAAAATATTATTATAAAATTATAATTTAATTAAACTTAAAAGTGATTTAAAACTATTTATTAACAAAATTCATTTGATAAATTTTTACTTAATTGTGTATTTAGTATTCAATTATTTTAAATTTTAATTTTTAATAATTTCAAGTTAGGTTTTAAATTTAGAATTAGCGATTAATTAGGTTGAATCAAATTTTATCATTTATGTTTGTTCATCGTATACTCAATTATTTACTTATCTCGTAAGCATATTTCATTTAATAATTGGTGCATACTTTTTATTGTTTTAAAAGTTAGATTCAAATCATCATAAATCAAAATAAAAATAAGTATACTTAATTATTTATAATTTCAATTTCATTTTAAAAATATTTTTAAAAATTAATTAAGTAATTCAACTACAAAGATAATAAAATTGAGATATCGAAGCTGAAAGGAAAAAAAAAAACTTAAATAAGGAATTTTTAAATTGATGCAAAAGATAAATAAGAAATATTTGATTCTAATTAGGTTCCTATTTCAATTCAAATTTTAGTTGTGTTTAATTATTTCAAATTTTAAATTACTACTAAGCTTTTGACTTTTAAAAATAAATTGAAATCAAGTAAAGTTTGTTCATTTTTATAATTATGTGTATTATATTATTTTTAATTAAATTAAAATTTAAAATGAGTAAAAATTTTATGTATACTCAATTTAAGTTTTGAATTGTTTCAAAATTGAATTGGTTAATCCATATTATTTTCAGTTATATTTTTATGACACCTGTAATAAATTTCGAAATAGAATAAGAAAACAACAAAATGAAAATTTAAAATTACAAAAATATGAATGATAATTATAGAAGAAAATCTTTATACCCAAGTATTGCAAAGAGTAAATGATATATCTTATTCTAAAGATTTTGAAATTTATATTGCATAAATGTTGATATAGATAAATACGTTTATAGTCATTCATGTGGATTGAAGTAAATAACTCAAACATTTCATTTAAATGAGATATCATAATTTATATTCATTCAGGAAGGCAACATACACTTAAATATTATTTGGGTTGCTATAACCCTTTGCAATATTATTTACTCTTTTCAAATGAAGAAATTGGTTGGTATCAAAATATTAAAAACAATCATTTTGAATGATAGTAATAAAAATAAAATAATAATTAAAAATATATTCTTTTTTCATTTAGTAGAATAAATTTTTTAAGGAGAATACGAAAATAATTATTGTGAACTTAATATTTTTTAATATTGCTGTCTATTTATTTTTTATAAATTTATTTAGTAATTTTTTCTTATTACTTTTGTATAACAAATATTGTTCTCAAAATTATATACTTAAAAATATAAGCATAAGGTAAAATTTATTATTTTCATTGTTGGCACAACACTTTAAATTTTTTAACATTTCATATGCAATTATACTTCATCAACAAATATGAAAATACATGTACAAATCATTTAATCAAATCACTAATAAAACTTATCTTAATATGTATTTTTTTACCAGGCACTACAAATTTTAAATAATATCTTAAAAATATTAACTTAATATATATTTTATATATTTATTTAATTTAATTTTAATACTTGCATTAATATAAAAAATTATGATTTTAACTTATTATTACATGTTCAACTACAAATTACAAATTAAAAGCATTTACTCATTGTTTTTCAAGTCATCTATGCTTAAACTTTTTTTTTATTTTCTTTCTCTATCTTTCAAATTATATCATTTAATATATATTGTGTTTTTTTTTTTTTGAATTTATGCAAATTAATAATAACATAGTAGTAGATAATTGATAATTTAGTAATTAACTAATGAAAATTCAAAGTAATTAGTATGAATTAGGAGTAATTATCGATAACTTAATAGTTAATAAGTAGTAATTTAATAATAAATTATAGATAATTTAGTAGTAAATTAATAATAATTTAATAATAAATGAATAATAATTTAGTAATCAATGATTAATAACTTAGTAGTAAATAAGTAATAATATAATAGTAAATGTGTAATAACTTAGTAGTAAATCAAATTTAATATAGTTATAAATGTATAACAATATAATAAATAAAAAATAATTTAATGAAAAATAAGTGACGGCTTAGTAGTTAATTATTGATAATTTAATAATAAATTAATAGTAAATTAATAATAATTTAATAATAAATCAGTTTTAAGTTATTAGTAATTAATTGATAATAATAAATTATAAACTTTTTTCATACTATAAATAATTGATAATTTAATAGTTAATTAGTGAAAACTTAAAAGTAAATTAATAATAAATTATTAATAATTTAATTGTTAATAAGTGATAACTTAATAATAAATTATAAATAATTTAATATAAATCCATAATAAAATGATAGTAAATCATAGATAATTTAGTTGTAAATCAAAAATAATTTTGTCGTAAATAATCAAAATTAAATTGTAAATCAATTATAATAAAATAGTAAACACATAATAATATAATAATAAATTATTGATAATTTAATAATAAATTACTAATAATATAATAATAAATTATTAATAATTTAATTTATAAATTAATTAATAATTAATAATTATTCATAAATAAATAAATTATAAAAAATTTAATAATAAATTATCCATAACTCTAAATTATTCATAACTTAATGATAAATCACTGTTATAACTATTAATTGAACCACCACAAATGGCTAAAGCTTTCATCGGTGCTGCCGTGGAACTGGCACTGTCCAAAGCTAACTCGATCATTGACGAGCAGATCAACCTCGCATGGGGTTTTCAGGACGAGCTGAACAAGCTACGTGACTCACTAAATCGGACTCGAGCTTTCTTTCGAGATGCTGAGAGAAGGCAAGTTGATGAGACTGTCAAAGTTTGGTTGAAGCAGCTTGAAGATATTGCTTACAAGGCCGATGACCTATTAGATGAACTTGCTTACGAAGATCTTCGAAGGAAGGTGGACACCCGAAAGAGAATAAAGGTCAGCAACATCTGTTCCCTCTTCAAAAATTCCATGGCTGAAAAGGTTAAGGAAATTAACCTACGCATGGATGAAATTATTGATTGGGGCTCCAAATTTGGACTCCAACAAAGAGTTCAAAATGCGGCTCCCATATTTAGCGGAGTAGGAAGCACCGACTCCTTCGTTGACTCATCACGAGTTGTTGGAAGGGAAGCTGATATCTCAAGAATAGTTGATCTGTTGATTGGCTCAACCAGTCAACAAACTTTCTCATTAGTATCCATAGTAGGCATGGCGGGCCTGGGGAAAACTACTTTAGCACAGTCCGTATGCAAAAATGAGAAAGTCAAGAATTATTTTAATAAAATAGTGTGGGTGTGTGTGGCTGAAAATTTTGATGTCCCTAGGATTTTATTGGAGATGTTAGAATCTCTAACTGGGGAAACTTGTGACATGAAAAATAAGGATACCGTACTTCGGAAAATACAAAAAGAGCTGGAAGGGAAAACCTACCTTCTCGTGCTTGATGATGTGTGGGATGAGAATTTTAAAAACTGGGAGGACTTATGGGGTAGATTGCTGGGAATAAATGGAAATAAACAAAGTAGCATTCTTGTCACAACTCGTAATGAAAATGTTGCAGTGGTGAGGGAAACACCTCAAAGAAATAGGTATCCTCTTAAGTCATTGATGGAAGATGAGTGCTGGGCTATAATAAAAAAAAGAGCATTCCAAAACTATCCAATATCTCCAGAATTGGAAGATATTGGAAGGGTTATTGCTAAAAAATGTAGAGGTGTGCCATTGGTGGCAAATGTTATAGGGGGAACAATGTGCAACAATCAAAATAAAGATGAGTGGGTGAAAATCAGAGATAGTCCTCTTTGGGGTTCTCTAGAAAGCAATGAAGTGATTGTAGGTGTTTTGAAATTAAGTTTTGATCGCTTGCCTTCTCCATCTTTAAAGAAATGTTTTGCATATTGTTCTGTTTTACCTAAAGATTTTCGCATCCAAAAGGAGCAATTGATCCAGCTTTGGATGGCGGAAGGCTTTCTTCACCAATCCAATGGAAGTTCCCAGCTGGCATTTGAGGATATTGGTAATGAGTACTTCCATCACTTATTATCAAATTCCTTATTGCAAGACAAGGAGATGGATATGGATGGGTTCATTACATGCAAGATGCATGATTTAGTTCATGACCTTGCGGAATCAATTTCAGATGTAGAAAAATTAAGTTATGAAACCAATTCCACTCATCATAATTCTCATGAAAATGTCCCTGATATTGGTGTGAAACTGTGGCATTCCTTGTTCTTGAAAACTAATGCTTTCTCCATTGTATGCAACTTCAAAGGCGTACGGGTTCTTAATTTTTGTACTGCCTATATTGACTCCTTGCCAGATTCGATTAGTAGTCTAATACATTTGAGATACTTAGATATCTCAAGAACTTGCATAAGTAGATTACCAGAATCCATTACCCAGCTCTACCATTTGCAGACGTTAAGATTGCTGAATGTTAGGCAACATCTACTAGCTTCGGTGCCTTTTGCAAGACCTTATCTTGGAAAACTTCCTGAAGGAATGAAAAATTTAGTTAGCTTGAGGCATTTATATATTGATCATCCGAGTTATGTTCCTGTTGAGATTGGATGTCTAACTAGTCTTCGTACTTTGCCAGTATTTGATGTGGGCACAGAAAGTGGACGTGGAATTGGAGAATTGGGATGTTTAAGTAAACTTGGAGGAACATTGAAGATATTTAATCTCCAAAATGTTAGAAACAAAGAAGAAGCTAGGGGAGCAAAGCAATGGAAGAAGGAGAAACTACTCAAGTTGGAATACGAATGGAGCAGGGGAAGGGAAGATTGCTGTAACGATGAGGAAGTAGTGGAAGGTTTGGAGCCTCACTCAAATTTGAAAAGCTTAACCATTAAGGGTTATAAAGGAGGGCATTTCCCGTTATGGTTGGTAAGGAGTATTAGTGGTTCAAGTGCTTCTTTCCAACCCATCAATTTGGAGGACTTGACACTATCAAATTGTGAGAATGTACAGAACCTTCCAATTCTTGGGCAATATCCCAAACTCAAACGTCTTAGAATAGAAGTTTTACCCAATTTGAGGAGCATAGAATGCTCAGAAGTGGAGCTAACATTTCCTTCTCTAAAAGAGTTGAAAATTAGATATTGTTGGAAGCTAAGCAGCGTTCCAATAATGAGTAGATTTTCTTCTCTTGAGGAACTTGCTATCGACGATTGTGGGGAGTTAAGTTGGACCGACGATACACTATTTCCCTCTACACTCAAAAAATTGTCAATAACCAAGTGTTCAAACTTAAGGTTCATTCGAATTGTAGGGGGTGGTATCTCTTCTCTTCAAGAGCTTTTCCTACAGGGTTTTGACAAATTATGTAAAATAGAAGAGGGACTACTTGGCTCCACATGTCTAAAAGAGGTATGCATTTGGGAATGCCCTAAGCTGACATCCATTCCTCTAAACGGTGGATCTCAATCTCTTTGGAACTTTACAGTTGGAAAGTGTGAAGAATTACAGGAGATAGGGGGTGGACTATCTGCTTGTACCAGGCTGGAAAAATTAATGATAGAAGAATGTCCTAATCTGAAATCCATTCCTATAAACGGTGGATCTCAATCTCTTTTGAGCTTTGAAGTAAGAAAGTGTGAAAAATTAGGGGAGATAGAGGGTGGACTATCTGCTTGCACCAGGCTGGAAACATTAGAGATAGAAGAATGTTCTAATCTGATTTCCATTCCCAGTATAGATGGCTTCTCCTCTCTTTTAAGTTTAACACTGTACGGATGCAAAGGATTAACAAGTCTACCAACTGGATTGCTTGCCTGTACTTCTCTTGAGTATTTGTCCATATGCAATTGCACAAATCTGGAGTCAATTCCAGGAGAGAGCATTGACAGCCTCACCCGTTTGAAGACATTGGTATTGGGTCCCTTCTCAGAAGAACTTGAAGAATTTCCACTTCTCTGTTCCATCCACAACCTCCGCTCTCCCCTTCAACACTTGATATTGAATGGATGGGAAAAACTAAGCTCGCTGCCACATCAACTTCAACACTTCACCGCACTTGAGAATTTAGAGATTTCCAACTTCCACGGAGTGAAAGCTCTGCCAGAGTGGTTGGGAAACCTCTCCTCTCTTCGAGAATTAGAAATTCGGTATTGTGAGAATCTAATGCGTCTGCATCTAAAGAAGCCATGCAATGCCTCTCCAATTTGCAGCTGCTGTCTATCGATGGTAGTCCTCTATTAAAGGAAAACCGAGCCGAGCAGTCCAAGATCTCCCCATTCCAGAAATCTACATTGATGGATGAGGCTTCCAAGAGGTACTATAATTTTCTTAAGTCTATAGGCTTCGACTCGTCATCTTCTACCATTATCATTTCATTCGACAATTCTTCCTATTCAATCTGCAACTCCTTCTTTGTTTTTCTTTTTCCTTCTAATTTATCCATTTTTTTATTTTATTCTTTTTCATGGGTTTATGGACTGATTTTGTAGAATGTATCTGACCCACTATTTCAATAGAAAATGTATGGCAAATATGCTTCTATAATAGTTTCAATACTTCCTGCGTTTACTTTTTGAGCTAAGCTGCAAAAATTCAGCTATTGTCTTGCTTTCCTTTTCTTCCTTTATTTGAATAACAATTTTCGCAAATATGAGTCTGTAAATCTGCTAATCTCAAAGCGACAACCAAAAACAAGTTTATCAATAATAGAAAACTGTGTTTAGGTTTCTATTTGAATGACAATCTCATTCTGTCTTTTCCCCATATGATAATCATTTACTTTTGCTTATCATCATCCCCTTTTTTTGCTAGAAATTTTGCAAACATGATATAAGTCTATTTTTGCATCCAGTTATCTTGGCAATTCCTTGGGGATTTTACTACCTTAGTATAGGTATTTCACTTCATCCTAATGACAACAATTGATGACTTTCTTTGTACTGTTTAGTTCTGATGAAGAACCTAGTTGATCACATGGGGAACAATGTGGCATCAAATTTTCTAATCACACTGCAAAAGTTCGTTGTCCCTTTGTTTCACACCATAAATTTGGGTATGTTACATTTTTGATCAAATTGTTATTTGTATTCTTGTTTTTCATCCCTTTCTTGAGAACTTCTTACATTTTGATATGTTAAAATTATAATACATGTGAACTTAAATAATATAAAAAGTTTCCCCATCAAAACTTTGTTCCATCGTTTTGCACATGCTACTCATGCTTCATTTGATGTGTGCTGTTTAAAGATTGGATTTACAGTGGGAAATCAGAGCCTTTGTTAACTTATATTTGATCTTTCAGTCTTTTCGTTTAGCCAAAAAAAGTTTTTATACTTTATTTGATTAAAGCCTTTACTAAACCTCACTGTTTTCCATGCAATACTGAAATGTTTTAGACAGAAGAATGCACTAGAGTGATGAAGCTTAGAGTTGGATATTCATCTGACACTGGATTTTATAGAGCGGAAATGTGAGAATTCAATGCATCTGCCATTTAAGGATGCCATGCCTCCTCTGTAATTTGCAGACATTAAAATTTTAGGTTATCCTCTATTAAACAATAGCTTGTGAGTTCCTTGAATTTTTTTTGTCTTGTTTTTCTTTATCAGAAAACTTTTTGTTCAAAAGTCATCTTCTTTCCCAAATACATTAACTGTATTTTCCTTTGTTTAATTGTTGTGGCATGATATAGCGGGGAAGGAATTGAGAAGCAGCATTGCCTATAGTTCAGCAATGGTGATCTTGCCTTAATATTTGAAAAAACAATTCAGAAGGTATTCTCTTATGTACCTTTGAAATAATGGCAATGAGTGGGATATTTTTAACAAGTGACTTTAGTTAATGGAAATATACCATAAAAGTGTAGTTAATTCACTTATTATGCATACTTTCCTTTCACTGAATGAGAACATTTTAAAACACAATGCGTAGATAGTGTTAATTCCATGTTTTAGTTATCAGCTTAACTTGCTTCATGATTAATTGCAGGCATCGATTACTTTTTTGCTTTGGCTTTGAATTTGTAAAGAACCTGAGATTGTATACTATTTCATTGGATTGAGATTTGGCTAGACAATCTTTGGATGCAATCAGTTTCCCAAACCTAGCTCGCTGATATACATATACGATAAAGTGAGTTAACTCCTTATAAATTTAATATATATCAACATTTTCATTTTCATTTTGACCTATTGTACTTATCACTGCTTAATATAAACAATATGACCTTTGACTGCTAGAGGTTCTTTTTCAGTCTGTGTCACTATCTAATATGTGACACTTTTCACATTAGCAATAGGTTTGTTTCTGCAGCACCACTCCTCGATTCAGAAGCATAGACCGGGAGAGCTGAGGTTTCAATGATCTCATGAACTACCTTTTGATTTTTCTGGTAATCACCATGTTCAAATTGTTTTTCCACAACTACATACTTTTGTGCATGAGTGATTAATCTCAATGGTTGAGAAATATGTTTGCTTGACAGACTCATATTTGTCTGTTGTGAAGGAGTGACGCTAGCTTAATTACACGCTAAACATGATGCTTATGCATATGATGCCGCTCCTTGATGGTAAGCCTTGCTTTGCATTTTCCATTGTTGTTTCTTTCAGTTTGGTGGAGCCATAAATTACTCTTTGCCTGGATTGAGCTTTTGACAATTAAACCATAGCGATGAAGCTTTTGACAGAAGAATGCACCAGAGTGATGAAGCTTAGAGCTGGATATTTATCAAACACTGGATTTTATAGAGTGGAAATGTGAGATGCCAATGCATCTGCTATCTACAGAAGCCATGCCTCGTCTGTAATTTGCAGACATTAAATATTTTAGGTTATCCTCAATTAAACCAGAGCTTGTAGTTCCTTGAATTTTTTTTGTCTTGTTTTTCTTTATCGGAAAACCTTTTGTTCAAAAGTCATCTTCTTTCCCAAATACATTAACTGTATTTTCCTTTTTTTTAATTGTTGTGGCATGATATAGTGGGGAGGAACTGAGAAGCAGCATTGCTTATAGTTCAGCAATGGAGATCTTGCCTTAATATTGGAAAAAGCACTTCAGAAGGTATTCTCTTATGTTCCTTAGAAATAATGGCAATGACTAGGATTTTTTTAACAAGTGCCCATAGTTAACGGAAATATACCATAAAAATGTAGTTAATTCACTTATAATGCATGCTTTCCTTCCAGTGAATGAGAAAATTTTAAAATTTTGCTTATATATTGATATTGGCTGTAAACAAACAATAACTGATGGCATAAAAACTGGTGTCTTTGACAATTAAAATCACAATGCATAGATAGTGTTAATTCCATGTTTTAGTTATTCAGTTTAACTTGCTTCATGATTAATTGCAGGCATCAGTTACATTTTTGCTTTGGCTTTGAATTTGTAAAGAACCTGAGATTGTACGGTATTCATCAGCTTGAGATTTAGCTAGACAATCCTTTGGATGTAATCAGTTTCCCAAACCTAGTTTGCTGATATACATATATGATAAAGTGAGTTAACTCCTCATAAATTTAATATTATATCAATATTTTCGTTTTCATTGTGAACTATTGTACTTATCACTGTTCAATATAAGCAATATGACCTTTAACAGCTCGAGGTTCTGTTTCAGTTTGTGCCACTATCTAATATGTGAGACATTTCACAATAGCAATAGGTTTGTTTCTGCAGCACGACACCAGGACATAGAAGCATAGACCAGGAGGGCTGAGGTTTCAATGATCTCATGTACTACCTTTCATTTTTCTGGTAATCACCATGTTCAAATTGTTTTTCCACAGCAACATACTATTATGTATGAGTGGGGATCACAATGGTTGAGAAATATGTTTGCTTGACAGACTCATATTGGTCCGTTGTGAAGGAGTGATGCTAGCTTAATTCCACGCTAAACACGATGCTTGTGCATATAATGCTGTTCCTTGCTGGTAAAACTTGCTTTGCTTTTTCCATTATTTTTTCTTTCAGTTTGGTGGAGCTATAAATTACTCATTGCCTGGATTGAGCTTTTGAATAACCTGAGATTATATGATAAACAATGTGAAATAGCAATTCATGTGGTTTTCTTTCATGCTTGCTTAGACAATGGTTTGAATTTATGTGTTTTCTGAACAATTTATTCCAGTGACTAACCATTTTGATATGCTTTTCTAGAGGAGCTGAATTATGAAACTGATTTATTTGTGTTTTTTGAACTAATTAAGCATTATGAATCAGCATGGAGTGACTTCTTTTCAAAACAATGTGATTCACCTGGGAAACACAAGTACTGGTGTGTTCTTAGAGGAGCCAGATTCCACCATCAAATCAAGGGATATTCCATACCTCGATCTGAAAAAACACAAACTCCAGCATCATTTCGTTCTAGCATCAGTTGTTTTTCTCTATCAGGAAACTTTTTGTTCGAAAGTCATCCTCTTTTCCCAAATATGTTAATTGTGTTTGTCTTTGTTTAATTGTTGTGGCATAATATTGTGGGGAAGGAACTGAGAAGCACCATTGCCTATAGTTCAACTATTGAGATCTTTTCTTAATATAGGCAAAAGCACTTCAGAAGTTATTCTCTTATGTACCTTAGAAATAATAGCAACAACTAGGGTATACCTTAGTTGACGGAAATATATATAGCCTAAGAAATGTAGTTGATGAATTTATTATACGAATTTCCTTTCAGGAAATGAGAGCATTTTAAAATTTTTGCTTATAGCACATTGATATTGGCTATTAACAAATAATCTAATTAATGGCATAGAAGCTGGTGTCCTTTGACGATTAAAATCAGAATGCATAACACCTTTGTCCTTTTCTTTTCTGTGTGATTGTTGCATTAAGTTAAGCTTGATTGTGGCATTATGCAGATGATCCTTCGAAGCTCATTCAGACAGTGAAGGATATGAAGGAAACACAACAGATCACAAGACTTCTGTCGTTTATTTTCTATACTAAGGAGGCCACCCTTGTTTTACATTGTTAGTAAGTAGAAAAGTTGGAGAGCAGAGATTATAAGCATTTCATGATTTAACTGGTAACTCTTTATCTCTTCAAAGCTGAGCATGAGGTACAAGATTGCTATTTTCCTCCACGCCTTTATTTGGGATCTTCTATCCAGCTGCAGGGTTTAAAACCATTCAAATGCAGGCACTGTTTTCTAGCAGGGAAATGCAGCAATGCGAGTGGTAGAAGGTGATACCATATTGCTCATATATCACAAATTATGTAGGATTCTGTTCATCCCACGTTTTATTTATTCAGTTTAACTTGCTTCATGATTCATTGCAGGCATCATTTACATTTTTGCTTTGGCTTTGAATTTGTAAAAGAACCTGAGATTGTATAGTATTCATCAAATGGAGATTTAGCTAGACAATCCTTTGGATGGAATCATTTTCCCAAACCTAGGTTGCTGATGTACATTTATGATAAAGTGAGTTGATTCCTTATAAGTAGAATATATATCAACATTTTGTCTTCTTTTTGGACTATTGTACTTGTCACGACTAGATATAAACAATATTACTTTTGACAACTCAAGGTTGTGTTTCAGTTGTGTCACTATCATTAATCTGAGGTATTTAACAGTAGCAATAGGTTTGTTTCTGCAACACCGCACCAGGATTCAGAAGCTTAGACCAGGAGGGCTGAGGATTTCGATGATCTCACGTACTACCTTTTATCATTCTGGTAATCTCCATGTTCAAAATTGTTTTTCCACTGCAACATTCTATTATGCATGAGTGAGGATCTCAATGGTTGAGAAATATGTTTGCTTGACTGACTCATATTTGTCTGTTGTGTAGAAGTGATACCAGCTGAATTACATGCTAAACAAGATGCTTCTGCATGACATTTGTTGGACCAGAGGCCTAACCTATGGCTTGAACAGATCCGCGTAGAAAGTGGAAACTGTTCTATGGCTCAACGGAGATATGTATGATTCATGGAATGCTTTCTGCATATTGGAACCCAGCTTCTAACTATAAGATGATTGCACTAAAATGGTATTGAACCTTGAGCTTTGCGGTTTCTTTATTGTAAGTTTCTCTTGAAATTTCTCGTTTTAATCATCTATCTTACCTCATGCAGACACTGGGAACTCATGCCAATCCTTGATGGTAAGCCTTAGCTTTGCTCTTTCCATTGTCTTTTCTTTCAGTTTGGTGGAGCTATAAATTGTTCATCGCCTGGATTTAACTTTTAAAGTAGCTGTGATTGTGTGATGAACAATGTGAAACAACACTCAATGTAGTTACCATCCATGCTTGCTTTGACAATTGTTTCGATTTATGTGTGTTTTCTAAACTATTTATTCCAGTGACTAACCATTTTGATATGCTTCCTGGATCTTTTAACCATTACATCTCAAGACATCTATTCTGAAACAAAGTGATTCACCTGAGAAACACAAGTATTGGTGTGTTCTTGGAGGATCTGAATTCTATCATCAAATCGGGGAATGTCGCATATCTCGATCTGAAAACACAAAGTCAAGCATCGGCTAGTTCCAGAGAAATTAAATTCTATCCCCAAATCAGGTGATGTCCAGTATCCCTATCCAGCTGCTCCAAACCTCAAGTTCTCAACTCTTCAAGTCTCTGCCTCCAACAGACTGTAGCAGTTGAAATCTTCATCTTCAAGGGCGGCCCTGTTTTGAATGTTGCAATCAAGTCGACCAAGTCTAGCCTACCCACAGTTGGAGCACCCAGGCATCTCACCGCCAGTATTGATTTGGTGTCCATCGAAAGTGTACTTGCAACCAGGAAAAGTGAACAACAGCAGGAACACTTGAGCTTCTTTGCTGCTGCTATGAAGAACGTACCAATCTCCACAGCTTGAGAGCTCCCACTTTTTGGTGCCTCCTGAATAGTTCCAAATCAAATTGATTTTCTCTTTCTATTCAGAGCTTGTGTATATGATCCGACTAAGTAATCTAAATGTCATAATTATTTTTAATTTTGCTTTTTTTTTTTTCCAATGGACTTCATGAAGTTACAGAAAACTCTGGTAAATTGTTTCAATAGAATACATGGTTACAGAAATCACTTCTTGCCCTCTTTTCTTTTCACCTTTATTCCCATTTCAGTCCTCTTTTCTTCATTCCTTTCCGGTGACTTGCCACCTAGTGCGGCGGTGCGGTGCTCCCCTTTCCTCTTCTTCCATTATTCTGCCGACGACCTCTAGGTTTTTTGTGAGACGGCATATTTTAAGTTGACTTGGCAGGCTTACGGTCAGTTTCACTTACTGTTTGAGCTTTGACTTTGTTTGTGTAAAAACTAGAAACATCTACTAAAATAACTAGAAACATCGCGGAAATCTTTTGCTTTTATAGTGTCTGAGGAGTTCGTCATTTTTCTTGTTCTTCACGGCTGGTTTGTTATAAGGTAAGAAAAGAAAAGAAAGAAGAGAGAAATGGAAAGCAATAAATAAAAAACAGCGATCTGTAGTCGAATCTATATTAGTTGATGATGGAAGCTTCTGCATGGCCTGCAACCAAAACTTTTTTTTTTCTTTTTTATTCTTAATTCAAACCCTTTTACTTTTATTATTTTAAATTTAATTAATTTTAATTAATTAAATAGGGAACAACAAGGTTTCTATTGACTTCAATTCCACATTTTAGGAAGGTAAAAAGAAAACGGCTCAAATTTTCTTTTTTTTTTTTAATTTAATTTTTTTAATAATTTATGATTTTGATTTGCAGATCTTACTTTTAGCATTTGAATCTCATTTTTACTTACTACTTACAGTTAAATTAATTTTCTTTTGAAATGTTTGATCTTTTTTATTATTTCTGTTTGTCTATATTAGAAATACTGAAATTCAATTTGCCGATGAAATTTAATCGAGGAGATGTCATTACCGTTTGGATGTCCAATCAAGAGATCAAAAGGTTGTCGTCGTAGTTGTCTAAATAAAATGTTTCATGCTTTCTTCTTGTTTTATATTATTTAATGTGTTTTCGATGTTTTATCAATGTTTGAAGAAGCATTACCATATTAATTAGTCTCTTTGTACGTAAATGTTTACTGGACAAGTTATGAAATCTGAGTCTGCCACCGTAAGGTACATTCACTTGCAATGTTCATCAACCCAATTGACTATCAGCTTTTTTTTCGTTGTTGTTTATGCGCTAGAGATGTTTGAAATAGTAGATGAAACTTTGGAATGGGAAATTTTCTTCTGATGGGTTTATTTGATGATGAACCTTGTTAGCCCATTTGAATTAATGTTTTTAACAAAATTTTGCTCTTGTTTAATTTTTTACCAATTGCTTATACCTACTCACTGGATACTTTGATTCTCCCTTTCTTAGATGACATAAGCTCTAAACAAGTATATTTCTATCTACAAAAGCAACCGCAAGTGTAGCAGAAAAGAACAGTAGGCCTACTCTACATATGAAAAGTTTACAGCTTTATGTAAAAGACATAGGATATAGAATATCATAATGTGATAGGTTTGCCAGTTTGGATTCCAATGTGGTATTTCATTGCACTGTCTCTGTATGTGTGTGTGGAAGAATTAAAATTATTGTTATATGAATCTATGCATGAAGAACTTGGAATATTTATGTGACTCTTGCATTTCCATGATGCCTGAGCAAGTCAAAATGGAGTATCATTCTACTATGTCTTTTATGCATATTTCTCAACTGAAATATATTGGATTGTGCCTTTTATCTTATACAGTTTATTTCTTCGTGTAGATCCCTGAACTGGATTTTGAGATCCCTCCTGAGGCTCAACGTGGAATTCTGTCAACACTATCTATTTGAACCCTCTTGCCTAATACGTTTATGCTGTAGTTAGCTTTTGAGTGGTTCACACAAAGCTATTCTATCCACTTTATCTATTTTGGGTTTTCTTCCTCCCTTCTTTTATTTTTCTGACCAAGTCAGATATTGTCTAATGGTTCTGGGTGGAAGGATTATTAATACGTGCTATAGATGGACTACAGGCCCTTCAAGAAGAACGCAAGGTTCATTTGTGATTGACGTCCAATCTTGCTTTATTTTGCGTAGTTTTCGGTATTTGACTTGATTTTCTTTGCTGGGCAGAAGGTGGATCCTCAAACTGCAGAAGCAATTGACCAGTTTTTATTGAATTTGAGAGCATGTGTAACAGGAGATTCACCCTTCACCTTCATCCTTGATGACCCAGCAGGAAACAGCTTTATTGAGAACCCGTAAGAGAAAAAAATTTAATTGAGAAACAATTTTAATGAATTTTTTATGTTTATGTTATGGGCTTATGCTTTAGGCACGATGGGTGGTTGAAATGAAAAGCAGTTGCTTGCATATGAATGATCAGAGTGTTTGTCCCTAGGAAAAGAATTGAAGAATTTAAGATACTTCTTTCGCTGTTATTTCATTTGAATTTTGGATTAGAAAACTTAATTGACTAGTGCTTTTGGTTGGATTTGCTTTGCTGTTTAACTAAAAACCTTTTAGATCTTAAGTTGGCTTTATTTTATCTTATATTAGAATATTGTAATGCCTTCAGGTTTGCTCCATCTCCTGATCCATCATTGAGCATCAAATTCTATGATTGAACTCCAGAACAACAAGCATTGGGATATCTTGTTGATTCATCACAGTTGAATAAGCCTGCTGCCGGGGCATCTATGGAGGAAACAAGCAATGAAGTTGATCAGATAAGAAGCAACCACATGGATCAGTAGGGGCAGCAGCTGGTTAAAGGGCCATTGCTCAGAGTAATAGTGCTGAAATCGCAAAGGCTTTATTCCAATACTTTGCACCAGAAGAGGTAAGCTAATTTCAACTGTTACATTATATTGGATTCATGGGGATAAAATAAAAGAACCAAATTAACAAGAGAGAGGTGAAGAAAAGTGATTTTAAGTGAAATGCATTTTCCTTTTACTTATTTTAATTCAAGAAAAAAAAGATAGGTGAGGAGAAAGATTATTTGGGAAATAATAGAAAATTTCAGCTTTGTTTTATTATTAAAATTAGGGATGTAGTCGTAAAATCTATACAAATATTCAAAGTGATGGTTCATTTTAGTGTCACATTACCTCAGTTTTTTTTCTTTGAATTAGTTTCTATTTTTATTCAACTAGGTAATTTTTTTCTGCCAGCCTCTTCTCCGTTTCTATCTACCTTTCTCTGTGTAGACATTTAAAAATTGATTACTGTCCTACCTTTTCACCCCTATTCTCTATTTGGACGTTGAAAGTATTTCGATGTTAAAAGAAATATATATAATTTCACATGTATGAACGTGTCCATGATATTATTGTATAGGACTGCATTAGTCTGTTGCATTTCTCTCCAACCCTCCCCAGTTCTGTAGAGACTTGGAAATGGGTTTGAACTTTGGAGAGAAATTGAATGGCACTGGCAATTGTCCTCTTCTTTTTACTTCTCTCCTAAATGTTGCTATCTGCATAAAAAAAAATTTAACCTCTCTATCTAAACATGCTTGATTTTTCTGTGCGTTACCATTTAGCATTTTTTCTTGAATTCTCTTTATGCCTATTTTTATATTACTTGTTTCTTGCCTTCAAATAGGTGATGACTTTCCCATCAACATGTGGAGCTTGTGCTGCTAGGTGTGAGATTTGGATGTTTGTAACCAGTATCCTCCCTGACATTTTCTATGGTTGCATTTCTGGCAATATGGTATTTCTGCTTCATGTTTTGCTCCAGTTTAGGGCTATAAATAAAGAGCGTATGCATATCTGTTTGGTAAGTTGCAAGTGTCATTGGTTTCTAGAAATGGTTTGATTAAACTGCCTATTTATTTTGTTCATGATGCTTCCAATTCTCATCTTGCTCATATGAAGTATGCAAGTTGTAGATGTTTCAAATTGTTGACGTGTTGTTTTTCTGTGGGAAATGTTTTCTTCATTTGAGTTATGCACTGGTGAAATTAGAGATGCTTGTACCCGCACTCAACTTTCCTCAATACTTTGAAAAAAATTAAAGTTCTAGTTCTGCTCTCTATTGAATGGCTGACATTCATGAGAAAATTGAGTTAAATAGTCCTGGTTTTAGTTAAGTAATTAACATATGTCTGATTTCTCCTTCTGTTCTTTTTTCCCCATTTCTTTGCTTGCATTAGAACATTTTAAGCTATCAGTACTAAATCTCTATTTCCTTAAAGATAATCCATGAGTATCTACATTTAGAAGGTTGACCTTTATCCCTTAAATGAATTTATCTCATATGATAGCAATTCCAGAAGGTCGAGTGGAAAGTGAATTAGATTCTAGTGGGTCGTAGTCAGTTAAATTTATTGTCAAGTTGGGTGTTGGTCCTTGTTGAGCTGGAAAGATGCTTGCATCTCACTAGGAGCACATATTCCCCCCTCCTGGCCTTTTGATAACTCAGTTAAAACAATCTTCTTGCTAAGCCTGTTCATCTGAATTGTTTGTGCCCATATCATGGTGTCTTGCAAAGTTTATCTATAATTTTGTTGAGCTTAACCACGTACAGGGATTCCATACTTCCAAGAAGTTATTGTCATGGCATCAACTGTGATGCTTATGGCTATCGAAATTCTCAGTTGGTGGTAATTTTACTTGTCTAATGTTTTTTCTCCACTAAGTTTGTTTTTATTAACCATGCTTACCTTGCAGTTGAAGCCCGGTGGACGACTTCCTGAGAAGGGAAAGAAAATTACCCTGTGCGTGAACAATGTTGGGTTTGTTCTGATAGTGAACTCAATATTCTTTTTAGGAGCATTGCAGTAATGAATAGTTTCTCAACAAAATAGGGAAATTGCTGCTATTCTGATGTTCGTTAGTGTAAGTTAACTCTATATTTATGTGCCCAAATAGTGGTTTTCTTTTAATATCTTCCCTATCCTACTATCAGATCTTTTTTTTTATTTTTAATTTTTATTATGGTTGATTGTCTATTAAATCCAGAAAAAGTATATTGTAAATATTATTCAGTTTAATCATAATAGTGACTAACATGATTGCCAAAATCTAGACATATTGATTAAGAGAATACTGAGCCAGAGGATGAAATACTACTCTTTTAATCGAATATTCAGAGTTTAGATCCTTGTGGGTGTAATTTGCTGAGGTATATCTACAGTCGAAGTTATATTTAGGTTAAAGCAGACCTCTCTGGGAAGGGAGTAGTAGCAATTTGTACAAGTTGTGGATTTGTAGGATTCTGATAGGTTGTGAGTGTTCTTGTCCTGAGGAAGAGTTGAAATGAGGACCTCATCTTTGGGTTTCATCTTGCCGTCATACATGTAATTAACATTTCATGGGATGGAGAGGACATGTTTTTCCCTTGTCATTTTTTCTGTGCTTATGGTAAGTTATCTGACAAGCAGTCTTGTAAGTGTATCAGTCAGATACTGATTGTGTAAGAGTACCAGAACTTGACTTGGAGCTAGCTAGTGTCACACTTGGTGCGATTGTTATAACAGTTGAAGGTTTGATTACAAAAATTAGTGAAAGTGAGTACTGCTTTACTTATTTAACTTCTCCATGTTAATTTTCTGTTTTCTTGCTGGTCCTGTTATATATAGTCCTTCTCTTTCAGTGTTCGCTATGTTTGAGCACGTCACCGAGGAATGGTTCACTTCTCAATCTGGTTTGGACATGTTTCAGAACAGAAGGAGGCCAGATTTTGTATGTTTTCTGATTCTGTATATTTTTTTAAATAGTCCTCGTCCACCATTGTTTGCAAAGTTTGAGCACTTCACCCTGGAATGGCTCTATTTCCAAGCTGGTTTAGATATATAGGACAGAGGGAGGCTAGTTTGCTACTATGTATAGCTTAAACCTTCATTTCTTCACACAGCTAAAACTTTTGCTTTCATTCTGCTGTTTCATGTCTGTTATTCCAACAACTTCCCTCTGTTTACTTCCACCATTTGTGTTTGGTGTTCTTGGTCAATTATCACTACCTTGTTTCTTCTGTATGTGTTTGTGAAAAACAAGAAGGGTGGGAGGAGATGGAAAGATGCGTGGTTGTGGATGTGGCTTTACTCGTCTATCTCGTGCATATTATATTGTAACCTTCATGATCTCTATGTACAGGCCTTGAAAGAGTGCATGGATTTACTTTTGGAGATAGTCTTGATGAATCTAAAAATCCAAGTGGCTAGACTTTAAAGCAAGGTTGAAAAGGGTACCATATGAACATATCCTCTGTTATATATTTCATGTAATGTGAGTGCATAGAATGCCAGTTCATTTCAGGTCTGCCTCTGTCAGTATGCTAGTAAACTACTTAAATTTCCTGTAAAATATATGTGTGTGTATATATATATATATATATACATGTGTACAAAGCATCATGTTCATAATACTGGATGACTAGTTGTATTTAAAATCCAAGGATAGATTGATTATGTATAGCAATAATAGCATGCAAAATTAGTGACGAAGATTACTACCTCGTATTCCTCATGTCACTTTCACTTAAACGACACATATGATCCATATGATTGTTCATGTGTTTTTGCTTCACGTACACGGGAAGGATACTGAGATATTTTGCTGTGTCCTTGACACTTTTATTTCTTGAAGAATGAGACAAACATCAAATGACCAATAAAAGTATACATTTTTATTTCCTGAAGAATGAAAACTTTGACCACCTTCTTCTCACAAAGGAGTCTTCTTGTTATCTTGCAGATTTTGTTCATGGCAGAACCTTGGACTTTAATTCTGGACAGCAACTGATGATATTAAAGATGACTATCAGTTAATTTGTGAGTTTCTCTTCTGCCAATCTTGACAAAGAACTGCTGTCCATTTTGCTCTTCTTTTTAATAATTTTTCGTTGGACTTAAGTAGATTGACCTTTTATTGGAAGGGAACGCCCTCATTGTTTTATATGCTTTTAGGAAGAAAATAAATTTTTTTTTTGTACAATGAAAAAAGTCAAATTGGATTTTAGTTCTATTTATGAATTTATTCTCACAGATTGTGGTTTACCTTTAAACATTTAACAAATTGGATTGTTGCTGTGTCACGGGTCGAGATTCAAGCTCCGAACTCGCACGGCTTCGGGATCCGGACATTCACCTTTCCGGCGTCCCAGATTAGTCTTCCTGTCACGGTTCACACCCTTGTGAGGTATTGTCCGCTCTGACTCCCTGGACCCCCTGGCCCCCTGGACCCCCTGGCCTCACGGTTTTGTAGTTTTGTTCTACAAAAGGCGCCTCACAAGGCGGAGGTGGTGTGAACCCTTTTATACCCCAGGGACCCTCCTACGGTTTTGTTCTACAAAAGGCGCCTCACAAGGCGGAGGTGGTGTGAACCCTTTTATACCCCAGGGACCCTCCTATTTATGGGTGTGAACCCTTTTATAGCCCAGGACCTTCCTATTCGAATGAGGAATTGGGTCTCAATGACATTGGCACCTCTTCAGCTGATGCTGCATACAACTCAACAGCGGTGACATCGAAGGAGAAAATCGAAGAATATAACTCCAATGATCTGTGTGAAGACATTGGTCACTTTTGTTATTTAACCATCGTTGTGGCCGGTGGCGACAGTGTTGTGCAACCATTCATACTGGCTGCCAGAGCAATGTGTTCGAAAAGATAGGAGCTAGATTGCAATTCTGAAATCCTAAAATATAACATAAAATTTTGTCCAGAGCACCTAAATTCCATAAAGATTTAAATTTATATTTATGAGGTATTTTTGGAAGATAAAATAATAAAATTTTTAAGTCAAAGCTCATAATAATAATATTTTGTAACTTATGAAATATTGTTTGTGAGATAAAATAATAAAATTTAAAAGTGATTTTTTCGAATTAATGTAACACTCACTTGAAACATGTAATATAATATTTTATCTAATGAGATATTATTTGTTTTGATTCAATTTTTAAGTTTGTTTATATAATATATTTTATATGTATGAAATCATATTAAATAAATTTCGCTTTATAAATTTGTTTTTCCACCCTCCCAAATTGAGCCTTGCATATATGTTTTATCACAAAATATAGTCTTCTTCTATTTGGACTAGGTATATATTATGCTAGAAATCTAATTCTCGTTTATTTCAATTATTAAGAAAAAGAAGTAAAAATTTCCCCGCTCCGAAAGGCACGTACATTTTCCAGCATCAATAATCTTAATACCACTATTCAGATGGTGATGATTGCCCATCAACAGCTTTTCCTTTCTCCCTCATCTAGGTTATAGCTTCTTTCATTGCTTCCTTCCTTTTCTTGCGAGCATTTACTGTAGCCTGCCCATCACTCACACTGTGGGTTCCTTTTTTTCTCCTGTGGCAGAGGAGGTGTAGGCCCTCTAGCTGCATTTGCTTCCCTCCAGTCACCAACATTCAAGCCTAGCACTGCACCTGCCAAGCTCAATGTCAGCGTAGCATTGTTTGCATCAAATCCCACTGAAGAAAAATCAATAGCTTTATATCCGTCTTAGCAATTATTTAATCGTTATCTGAAGAATTCACATCAGATGGTCTTTTGTCAGGAAATCTTGGTTTTCACTGTTCTGTAATCTTATTCCTCCACATTGTACAACATACATACAACTGATATACAATGTGTCTGTCTGAACTTCTAACTTTATCTTCAAAACCAGAAGTAAACAAGTTTAGTTAAACCAAAAATTAAGGATTAAACCCAAACATTTGACCCCTGTTTAGATTACAGGTTCTGCGACGAACAAGTTTATCATCCAAGCCTTGATTGGGTCTGTTGTGGCAACCCCACACTATCCTATCCTACAGAAGGAATGTGAGATATAATATTCTTTGATTTGGCAATGCATTGTTGCACTGGCTGGAGCAGGAGTTGTTTGGCAACGTGCCATTGAAATCAAATAAAAAAAAAGAGGAACATTTTCCTATGGGTAAGTGTCAAATTGAGATAAAGAACTATGAAATTAAATCTATTGAATCAAAATTGGAATTGCATTTCACAACAAACTAAATATCCAAAAATCTAATAATTCTGTTATCCCCCAAAACTGTAGAAGTGCAGAAATCCTAAAGAAAATTGAAATGGGAAATAAATGAGTTACAACCTAAACAAAAAAATAACTTCAGATAAGTAATTTAATTCTGGATAAAACTGCAGTCAGCAGTATGTCCAATAACGCAGGGAGTGATTTTAGTGATTTGAGATCAGCATCCCCCATTCAATCCTCTTCCTCCGAATCAACACCAGCTGCAGCATTAAGGGTGTGTAACCGTTCGATCAACTTAGCTTTTCTTTCCTCGTATGTTAGCTTCTTCAAATTGAACCTGCAATAAAAAACATGAACACAGTAAGATATACATAAAGAAACTTCAACAAATATAAGTTTTCATAGCATCCGATCAAATCAGCACACAAAAAACAACCTTTTGTGCTGCTTAGGAGGCTCCTTTTCAGACTTCTTTGCAGCTGGGTCAGCGCGGATAGCAGCATGAACTTTCTTGTACAAGGCCTCCATGTTATCTGGCTCAATTCCTCTCTTAATATACTCACTAAAGTGAGCCTGATACTTCTCTGGCTCATCCTCCATCAAAGTCTACGAAAAAATCATAGATATTAATTAACAAAACTAGAAGCATGCCCAAAAAGGGATAAAAGAAAAATAATACCATTAAATTCAATAAAAGAGATATACTATTATGGATAGAATTTTTTACCCTCATATAAGCAGCAACATGACCACCATAGATGTACTTGCGGTGAACCTCAGCATCAAGCTGCTTGCTGTCCTTGGAGAACCCCGCGAACCTCTTGTCACTATGAGGAATATCCAGACCAGCATCCAATGCTCCCTTTTAATATGAAAAAAATTTCTATTAACTCAAAACGTTTCAGACGTCAGTCAATCAAAATCTCTAATCCACTAATTTAAATTGAAATCTAGGTCACAACCAGAATTGATTGCTTGAAGCATATATATTTAAACAAGTGGTCCCAGTCCTATCTAATCATACAACGAAAATGATTTATCAGAGGAATCAGGAAAGCTATACATGGAAATTCCACTGGGCAGCAGTCGATACTAACAACAAACACAAGTGGTCCCAGTCCTATCTAATCATAAAAAAAAGGGAAGATTTATCAGAGGAATCAGGAAAGCTACACTTGGAAATGCTACCGGGCAGAAGCACAAACTAACAACAAACACATTTCAAAAGTAGAAATTTACAACAAAAAAAGGGATCAAATTCTTAAGATACTTCATAGAATGATAAAAGGTAATGTAAAGTCATGACTAGCTAGCAAAAAAGATCAATTGGAATCATACCTATAAAAATATAAAATTGCAGTTAGATTTTTTATGATACCTTTAGAGCACCAAAAACATTATTGCCAGTTGTCGTCCTGATCAGCCCTACATCAAGAAGAGCACGGAAAGGCCTCCTTGTGTCGGTTGGCTCGACTGAGTAATCCTCTCCAGTAGCCTGATAATATAAACCTTCAATAAAGAAACTATGCAAAAGTAACAGTATCTATTCTATATAACAGAATATGATAGCAGGATTGTATATATAATACCTCCACATTGCCCTGATATTCATCATCAATTTCAAGCATCTTAAGGACACGGCGTCCCAAAAGCAATCCAGTGCAATAAGCTGGTCATATTTACAAAAGGCATATGAGAAATGAAATTGATTACTAGCACATAATCCAAGTCAATAAAGAGAATACCTGCAGCATAGTTTGTAAGACCCACTTCAAGCCCATAATGAGGAAGCTCATGTGAATAAGCAGAAGCAAGAACCATATCACCAGCAATATTAGCAGAAATTATTTGTGCAGTGATATCTGTGTTGCTCTAATCAGAAAGTTAAGGTTGAAACATAAACAGAAATAGCAAATAGGTTTACAAACTAGAAAATGACTCCAACAAACAGACGCAACTTTTTAGACAGACATCAAATAACTTCCATCAAAACATCAGGATGAAAAAAACACTCAAAGCAGACTTATTAATCAGAATACAGTACTTCAATCAGATTACTCCTATCTACATGTCATAATATATGCTAGCCTAATATTTCTACAACTCAACAAGCTATGTATTAAACTGAATAAAAGCATAGTTCATAATAAAAGATTCAACTATATCTTCGCTGGGCTAAAAGTAGAATGACATTGTAAGAACATGCAACTTTTAGGATACAATTCGTACGACAAACCGGTACTTAGGAGTGTTGTACTTGTTCTTGTCTTGATTGATTAGGCGAATCCTAGCCCGGTAGTCAGTCTTTCCCTCTACACATCAATAAATTCAGTAAATCATAACATCAGAAAGTCACTCAAAAACCAGAAGTCGACATTCCAAAACTGAATAGCATTTCTAAATAAAACATAAAATAACCACATAGATATAAATACCTCTCCTTCTCTTGAACGGCACTTGAAACCGCTTAAAGTAAGCCTTAGTTTTCTGAGCCTTAACAAAGGCCTACAATGACAAAAGAGAGCTTCCATTATTTTAGCACTTTATCAAAGAAACAGCTGCCAAATCCTAAACTTTTGTACAAAATGAAGATATAATAAAACCCAATGGGGAAAACAAAGAAACAAATCACAAACCAAAACAAAAGTAACCCATTAAAAGCAAAGTAAACATTGATTATTGGATGATTGAGAAAGACCCAGAGTGGGAAAATGATCAAATACCCCAAAAGCCATCAGATTTCATATAAAAAAGTGAACTTTGCATTTTTCAGTTGAAAAAGAAACACATTTTTTTATATAAAAGGGAAAGGGACAGTGTTGAAGTTGGAAAGGATTACCATTGTTGAAGCTTTGATCTGAAGGAGACGGAGAAACGGCTAAGAAACAAAGAGAAGCGAGGGAATGTATATAGGGGAGTGCAGAAATTAAAAACCCTACTAAGACAGAGGCCTTGGTGGAGGCTACATCAACGGCTCAGATTTGTTTTCGCTTTAACCGCTTTCTCTAGGATTTTTGTGTTGGGCGTGTGGGCATTTTGGTCATTTTAAGTGGCTATTAAGCTTTAATTTCTTAAAATACGCCTCTAATATGCAAATTTGTCATTTTGTATGATTATTTAGCAGAAATTAACTTTAAAAAACAATTTCTGTATTTTTAATATTTGTTTGATAAAAAATCATTTGGTCAATGAAAAACTATGATCTATTACTTTTGAAAATGAAAAAAAAATATAAATTAGTCAAATCCGGAGCTTTATTCGACTTAAATTTTATTTTAAACATGATTTTTTAAATTAAAATTAATTTGAATTGATATAAAATATTATTATATTAATAAAAATTCATCCAGAAAGGAAGATACAGCATTTAAAATTTTCTCAACCAATGGATGTTGTTATACTGTTAATTTTAATATTATACAAAAAAAGAAAAAAGGAATATGAATATGAAAAGAAGCACAAAGAAAACGAAAATCAACCTTGAAACCCATTTTCTTGTGGTTCACGTAAATGTCAAACTGCAGAAAGGCTCGCCCACTTCCCAAGTTCATAAGGATCAGCATAGTAATTCAACTTGATTCTGTTTGACAGAGACAAGCCTGCAGCAACTGGTGGAGCTCTCAAACCAGATTCATCCTGCTCCACTGGCTCATCTGAGAATGCTGCAACATCTCCAAGAAGTTTGAAAGAGATCCTGCGAGTTTGTATTTGTTTAGGGCAATCAAAGTACATGGCTGTTCCTGGTTTGGCCTCTGGCAATCTGTATCCTGCAATAGTCACCATGTTGTGTCCTATTCCTTCCTGTAAAATTGTTATTCTAGTAAGTTTATAGAAACATAATAATTGTAAAAAGTAGCCAACTGCTGAATCGACATGAAAAAAATGACTCGTGCTTGCGGCGAATTGTAATCATCCTTAATCAGCATAAATTACCCTGTTTAAAATAAACAAGCTGTACGATAAAGGCAGGACTAACAGATACCTGGACTGCGGAGACTTGAATATATGGAACAGCCGGAGAGATATGCCTGTCTTCTAAAAATGTTATTGATGTATCCCAGATATCCACATCCGAAGATGGTGAAAGGGTAATTCGAGGTTTTATTGCATTGAAAGTATCCAGTCGGAATCTGGCAAGTAATGGCGAAGGAGGCAGATGCTGCTCTAAGACTAGATTGTTGTCCATTAGCCTCTCAACCTCATTTGGAACCTGAAAGTAAACAAGGATTAGCAGAGGTACGCACAGCATGAACTTGGAGCAAAAAGCTGGAACCAGGTATAAACAGAGCACTGAAGCATAACTATTACCTTGAATCCATTTAATTGTGGAGCTCGGTCCAACCAGTTTCTGTAATTCATTTGATCAGTACTTTGCGATGATGTAAGTTCTGTCTCTTTTCTCACAGGGCTTCCAGCTATCACAATCGTTTGGCATGAAGGCACGGATCACATTCAATAGCACCTCCAAAAGAGGCACGTCAAGTTTCTTGCGAAAAGGGTTTTCCATCCAGAGACAAGAAATTAAAGTCTCTATCAAAATTAACAGAGCTTGAACCAGGCCGCTGAAGGCGTAGTGTTATCCAAACAATAGGACATCTAACAGGATTGTTGACAGTAAATTTGATGTGCCGAGGGAACTTATCCTCTCTAACTGATTTTTCAGGTCCATAAAATTCTGTTGAAGAACTAATCAGGGACTGGACATCCCATTTTCCTACGCAGGACCTTTCTTCCCTGTCTATTTTATTGCTCGCCCAGATTTGCTCGTGTGTTATAGGAGAAACTGTTAAAAAATGCATAACCTGAAGAAAAGTTAAAAAGGCTACCTTTTGTTGCTGAAAATAAACCTGAAATGAAATTGCTGGACAAGAGGAAAGGAAACTCAAGGCATATGTGATTTGATACATGGAATAATGACACAACATGATACACACATTGAAACAGAAAACACAAAGAAATGATAGGGCATGACAATCATAAAAGCATAAAAACCTTCTGTGGTTATACAACGTGAAAGAATATAGCATGGAATATGCGGGTAAAACAACAGCAAGGGCAAAAGAAAAAATGCAGCTCATGCATTCAAACATATCTAAACAATATGCATAATTATGTTACATATGACAAACATATAGTTCCAATCAACTCACATGATAAGATTCTAATGATGCAATTTGTAGCTAACCAAATTACTATCTTATATAGTTCCAATCAACTCACATGATAAGATTCTAATGCTGCAATTAACAGCAATATCAAATCCATTTCTTAATTAGAGGTATTTGGTTTGAATCCTAGGGAGGGGAATGGGGATTTATGGGATAGGAGAGGGTTACCTCCCTGTTATAGCTCAAGCCCAAAGGGTTTTCACATTTATTAGAACAAAAATAAATTGATTTCTTATTTACAGACATTGACACAGTTAAAGTCAAGTGTTCATCACCAATAGTGTATAATATCAGCATATTTAACTTAGTAGAGTCTGTCAGAAACATTCTAAAGTACTGCCTAAGAAGTTTAAGTGATGTTTGATGTACAAGATTATGATAAGATAAGATGATATTATGAATAGGATTAGATTAAATAATATATCCTATCTTATGTAAGGATTATGATAGGATAATTTATTTATTGATCAAAATTATCCTTTCTCAAAGTTTATACAATTTAAATTATTGATGTAATTTTTAAAGGTATAATAGGACATATATGTTCAATCCCATAGATTAAAAATAATGAGGATTGAATCATCCTATGCTAAGAGGATGATTAATCCTCCATATAATCCTATCCCTTTCTTTAGATAGAAATCAAACATAGTATAAGATGATTATTATTCTATTCTATCTATCATCCTATACACCAAACATAATCTTAATGTCTAAAATACAAAGAAAGAATACACTGCACACACATAGAATATGGACATAGATATGGCTGAGTACAAAAGCCATCCATATCACACTATGATGATAGTATAAAAGATGGCATAATGAATATTAAGTTACACTATAATTGTTGAAATATTCAATGCTTGAAGCATATTATAGTTTCATGTTGCAAGCAATCATTAGTTAACCAAAATTGGTTTCATTACCAATCAGCTATTTTATCCCTATTAAAGTATGCTGCTGCGACTCTTCATTTTCATAAATTACTTGGCCCAACGTGTACATGACAAAGGTGTCATATACATCAATGTCGGCCACATAATTATGCCTGAGCCTGAGCAACATAACTGTCAGGGAAGTAATTCTAATGTGTTTTTGATACTGAAATGACACTGAAAAAGGAGTTATGCCTTAGATGCATGTCAAAAAGGGTCTTTGAGTAACTAAAGCACAAATTTCCGGAGTAACATAACTGAGAAGAGATACTAATTTAAAACTATAACAGAAGTTCGACATTTGCTATATGGGAGTTGCGCATAATTGAAAATACATATTAACAAGATAAAAATACAGCAAGAAGATGGGTACACTTACCATGAGAGCATCAGCTTCAGAATAACCACATGGACTAAAGAGCAATATGACTCCACTGACATCTGAAAGTGTGCCAAGAACAATAACAAATTCAGCAGAGGCAGTATTAGGGGTAGCCCTCCAATATCAATGTCGTGATCCAGAATCCAATGGAGTGAGTAACGACAAGAATGAGGCCGAACCTATAGCTGTCTCAACCTACAGTTTCATTGTAAGTGGTTAGACCACAATAAATACTAAATCAAAACGTCTCAACATGTTTCTCTCAAAAATACGAAGCATAAATTTTGTAGCATTAAGGTTACATCGTAGTACAAAGATACTTATTTCTTAATCCTACATAAGTATTCTCTATGAACAATAAGGCATTACATTTTTGTATATGGCCAGCCCAACTTTCTAGACATGACTATTCAATTGACTCATGGAGAGAGTAACTACATGGAGGACCAATGTTAGGGTTTCAACAGGCTTTTATTCACATTTAGGCTTTTCATGAGTTTTCCCCAGACGTATGAAGTCAAACATACAAGCAACAAGTAGTCACATACCATATGCGGCTTTAGACAGTTTATGTACTTCTGGGCAGCACTGAGACCTCCCATCCTGTGATGTAGAGGATTTATGATCAGTTTCAGGATCATGGTAGTCAACAACAGCTTGGTCCAGCAAATCAAGCAAGTCACCTCCCTCGTAAGCCACTTTTTCTGTAACTGGCAGAGAAAAAGATTCAGAAAACACATCACCTCCAGTTAACAGGTCAACACAATCATTAGCAGAACCCTGTTTTGCCGATGTTGACACAGCTTCATTGGATAGAGAAGTGCCACAAAAAGGGTTTATGTCCGAAGCAGACAAAAAAGATTTGGTTTCCTATTGAAATTTCTTTGCAAGCTCAATTAGTTTGGCACCACGCCCTAAAACGCCCTTCATTAGCAAATACTCTATTCCAGGGGAGAGGAGAGATACTCCAAGGATTTCTACCTCTAAAAAAATTTGATACATAGAGAATCATCCGACCACATTAGGAAACCCCACTGCCTAAGTCAAAATAAAAAGAAGAATGAAACAAATTAAAAAAAGGGGTTGGGGGAAGGAAATTAGAATTTAATACAGAATTGTCAAGTGATGTAGACTGGTATATATAAACAGTAAGGTAAGTTATTTGTTTTCAAATTGAATGTTGTTTTTAGACAAGAAAAAAAAAACTTATCAGGAAAGAAATGTTCACCTAAAACAAAAACTCTAATAAATAAGTTAAAAACCACTTATCTGCCATGGGATGTGTATGATAATCCCAATTAAACTCGGTATTTTCAACGGTAAATATTAAGAATCAATACTGAAGCCATCTACTGACTTATTGGCTTATTGTAATCTTATAACCATTTAGTACCAAAAGTAGCTCACAAGGTAGCAGTGAGTTTGGTTTCAGCAACAGAATTTAGTATCCAAGGCCACATTCATTTGTTTGAGAAAGTTTCTTTCATCAATATAAAGGGTACAGCAAAATTGTAAAAAAAAAAATAGAAGTAAAAGAAAAGATTGACGCACAATGAAACATTTACTGGCAAACATTTAATGGCAAGCCAGGGAGAGTGCAGGGCTATCACCACAGACAGGCTGTAAGTATAAACTGGAAATCTAGACAAACACTATAAATACATACATGCAGTGGCTGAACTGGAACAGATGGAAGATGCTTGAAAAGCCTTATTCCAAGGAACATCTCCAATTGCTTTTGACAAGAACTATCCACAAGTGCATTTTTGTATCTCAATTGAAGAGTGATTTTCACATTTTGTGCCACTGAAAACTGCTTGAATTTTCCTGCTTCTTCATTGAATATGCTTAGAATTTGACTTATGCATGGCCTTGGAACCTGTATACAGTGTTGCATGGATGCCACCAGCAAGGAGGAAAAGATCTGCTAGCTGAGATACAGGTGATAAAATTATTGATCTCTTGAACTCGTCAAATGTCATGTCAAATCTCTTCCATGGTTTATCTGGGCATGGATGATCCCATGTTGTGGTCCTTGTATTATGATCGATATAATAAGTTTTTCCCGTTACTGCATCAGATCATTTCTCCCAGCAGGTGGGAAAGGAGCAGTATACCCACCATAGTTATTAACTGACTGATAACCATATGCCCAATCACTATCAAGAGATATCCCAAGCCGCCTACACTGCTCAACAAACACCTGGAGTGCCCCAAAGTAACTAGCAGCATTGGTTCTATCCGAAGAATCTGCACAATTGAAACGTAACACATCATTTTGATGGGATCTTAAGCCCTCAAAGTCGTCATTATAGATGATTTCACCTCTGCAATCTTTAAGTCACTGTCGCCAAGGCAAATAATCACCTTCAGAAATCGCTATAACCAGAGTGGGCGCTTTTAGAAGTCTCCACAATTCTTCAATCGTTTGTTGTTCACCTTGTAACTTTATCCGGCCATGCCAATCATAATTTATTAAATGAATTCGAGTATAAGGAAGTTTTTCAGTGGATTTAGTATGGTCTACTAATATCTCAAAATGCTGCAAGTAAAATACATTCGGACTTTCCTTCTCCATTTCGAAGCAAGTGGACACATACAATTGAAACAAAAGCCCTTTTCATCTGTTTTTCCCCAATACCAACATCTAAGTTGCGAGCATCATATCGTTTACTTAATCTTTCATAGTACTGTGAACTTCCTTTGTAAGTTTACCTGAAATACAGATTTCTGCTTCAGCAGCAGTGATCTTTAGTTTTGCACCCCATACAAGTTGTTTACACTCTACCTCATTCCCTGAGAGTATGTTTTGAAGACCCGTTTGGTTTTTCTTTTTTTTCTTTTTCGAAAGACCCGTTTGGCGTTTGGTTTAATATTTGGTAAGTAATTCATAATACAACATAATAGTCGCAGATTATAATCTTTATTTGGTTAGTAAGAATAATTATTAAGTGCAGATTTCATAATTTTAAACACAATATAATAATATATATATATATAATATAAACCTACATGCAAATGATACAAAAATAAAAAAATATATTTTGTGTCTAACATATGAATATGATTAGATAATTTTCATATTTTATGCATATTTGACATGGTATAAATACACAAATTATAAAATCTAATTTGGTCCAATCTTTTAAACGGCTTAAAGTTAAAGCCAAGCATACTAGCATTTGAAAAATAAGTTTTTAAAATACAGGAATATGATAAGAAACTAAACTAATCATCATCACTTTCATAGTTTTGACATAGAGATTGAAGTCCAGTGCTTGTATTGTTAGCAAATTTCTCTTCTGATTGTCCTGGAACGTTACCATTCGCAGCTAGGACTGGTTTCTTGACAACAGAGATCGTGATTGAAGGCTTGAAAGGAGCTTTAGCTTGACGATTCCCCGACTCACTTGAAGTTTCTGTCAACAACCAAATATGTTCATTAGCATATTCAGACAAGTGCAAGCTAAATCACACAATACAAAATGGATGTACAACAATTCAAATATCAGGTCCAGAAAGTAAAAGGAGGCTAAGGGAAGGGGTTGTAAGTGCGAAAATTTGAACCCCACATATGCTAGATGCTAGATCCCACTGCATGAACCAACTGAGATAAGCTTTAGGTTCTAAAAAATGAATGATTTGACTGACATTTTACATATACTTTCACACTTTTAGTGTTACAGTTATGTTCACAAGAACATCAAGTTATATGTGCAGGCCATGACCCATCACTAATTTCCACAATTTTATGTCAAGGTATATGTTCATAAGAATCTTTGTGATCATCTCATACCCTATAATTATACTTTCAGATATATACTATAGTAGGTTTTGCAAATATTGGTATCAAAATCTGCAATTGACTGAAATCAACAATAAAGATGGTGTCTGATAGCAGCAGCTGGTTGACAGCAAGAATGCTTTCTATGAGGTGGCAAAGCCTCAATGCTCATGATATTTAAACAGGGAGCCACTTGCTTTAGATAGAAAGTTAAACTACTTCTATGATGAGCTATGGTGTATCTTATCAACATAGCGCATTTTAATATACTATGCAATATATGAATAAAGAATTTGTGATAAATAAAGCAAATACCTTTGCTGCTGGGGCCGTCAAGAGAACTGGCTTTTGTCAAAGCATCTGTAGGGTTACTTGACACTTCTTCGGACACCTTTCTCCTCTGAATAGCATACACATGAAAGAATGAGTTCACAGACTATTTACCAATTAATTTCAATAATAGGATTTTACTATCAACAAGTATCCAATGAGTCCGGGTATATTTTAGATGGAAAATTAAAATAAATACAGCAAATTCACAGTTCTACAAACACAATTTAAACCTTGTTTCTGTACTTTCTTTAATTAATTTATTCCACTTTCAAATAAAAAAGAAGCAAATTCTCAAAACTGATGACAGCTCAGGTGGATTCTTCCACAAAATCATCCAGAGCTCCATAGAAGTTTTTTGATAATCAGCACAAAATCATCTGCAAGCACCATACTCAGATGATGAAGAAAATTTTGCCATATTATAATTACCACCAGTCTGAGTGACATAAACACGATAATCAGCAGATGTTGCATGACTATCAATATCTCCTAAAACTATCATATGTACCTTGGTATTGGTGCAAGGTAAATTAACAACCTAATGGTATCATCCAACAAGCCAACTCCATTTTGAAAATAAAATTGAAAGTTCAAGAATATTTTTCTGTCTTTACATGAGATAATGATCCCTTCAAATGGCTGGCTTTCCCCCACGTTACCCTGACTCTTGATTGTTTCTAAAGTAGCTGTGTCAGAAACATTCCAAAACTTCAAAATAAACATAGCATATTGGGTCTTGCCCCTTAAAGTATACTAAGAAAAAAATGAATGTGTGCATGTCAAACGTATACCGATGTCTGATACTCACCCCCTAACCCAAACAGCATGGACTTTCACTATTTGTCTTCAATATTGTGAACCCTTTACCCACCTTAGAAAATCTAGTTCTATCTTCAAGGTGACACTTATTCTAACAAAACAAATATTTTTTAAAATCCAATAAAACTATTACTAATTGTCAGCAATCCATTTGGTAAGTTCAATTAAAAATAAGTTAAATTTAGATAATTTACTTAGAAACTATTTATATGCATTTAAAAAATATTTTGAAAGTAAGTGTATATGCATGTTTTTGCAAACTGAAGTTACACAATATAGTACCTTTAAGCCATGATTTGAGGTTTCATCATTGCCACTTGATAAATGGGTCAAATCCTCATTATCATCAAAAACTTCATCTGAAATCCTTCTAACAATTTCCTTTGGCTTCTGCATTAAAGTTGACACTGATGTTAGAAACATGCCCACCACAAACAAGGGGGGCAACTGTGACTGTAGGTAAGGAAGAATAATACACCAATTCTAACCTGGAAAATTGATTTTACAAGGGCTTCATCTTCTTCTTCTATTTTCTTCTCCTGTTAGCACATTATTATCTTCGTAGTCAGACTCACAAAAGAGAAATGAAGCATAAAGTGTTCTCGACAAAACCATAAATTCCTCTAAGGATTTGGAGATTGCCAAGCAATTCCAGCCAAAGATGTATCACCATTGATTTAAAGAAATTGGACAGTATCAAATCAAGTACGAATGAAGATTTTTAAGCATAACAGTGGCTTAAGCCATTAAGATATAAGTAGAAATATTTTTACCTTTTCTGCAGCAGTGCGCTGCAAGACCTCAAGCATTGCATCTACACTCACAGTAGCATGTCTGGACTGCAATATAAGACAGACTTTCATTAGCATCAAAGAGAAGAAAACATTACTTAGGGCCATTTTGATAGACAAATAATATAACTTCAGGATTTCAAGTTCACACATAAAATAAGGGATGACAATTTTTCCTTATTTGACATCCATAAACACAGTCAAAACAAAGAAAAACTGTTCTACATTATTTTATATTTTGATGACAATAATGTTGCATATATCTCTAGCATAAAACACAAAAAGTTGGTTCAAGTACCTTCATAGACTTCATTTCATCAAGTGCAGCAAGGATGTCCATCTCTCTTTTTGAATCCAACGTTCTGTTCTCCAAAGATTTCATTGCATCCCCCATTTCTTCAGATTCTCTTTTCTGTCTCTCCTTCTCTGCTTCCTAATAAAATAAAAGATGAAAGATTTTATCATAAGAGCCATAACTAAACATCCAGCACTGTTCAAAGAACTATAACAAACACTTAGATTGATACACAAAGCTCTCACCTCATCCTCAGCACGCCAAGGTTCAAAATTTCTAGTCGCACCCGATTCAACAACATAATCTGAATTTTGTGGATCAGTCGTCATTGTAATCTCAGCAGAACACTTGGTGCATTTGAAATAAAACCTAAATATTTGGATTCCCAAATATGTCTGCAAATAATTGAAATACAATAATAGAAAAGGTAATTAAAATGCACCAAAGACATCCAAACAGAACCTTACAGAGCAAAAGATAGCTTTCGATCGTTGCTTTTTCTACATTTTTTTTCTTTGCGTTTGAAATTTGTTAAACCGAGGCTAAAGAGTGAAAGGAACGCTTAAACTAACCTCACCGATGACATCTTCTTTGCGGGAATTGAACTTGGTGCCTTTGTAGATGTAATTACCACAGGTATTGCAACGGATGCTCATCGGAAGCATCATTCGAACCTTCATCTGTTGGTTCTTGGGTCGCCGGACCCTCGGAAGCTTCGACGGATCGAAGTCCGGCGGGTAATACTTGTTCAACACTTTTCTTTCTCCCATCTTTCAAATCAAATTATCAATTCACTCTACCGAACTAACAATACTGAGAAAAAATTTTCGATTGGGTGCCCTAAGCCGATATTGGGGTTTTTGAGATGATGATTGGGGAAATATAGTTTCAGGCTTTAACAAGGGACGGAGTCGGGACTTTCCTATATTACGGTTCTTCAGCCGTTGATTTTATATACTACAAGATTTTGACCCGTGCCACGCAGGTGATTTTGCTTTTTCATAAAACATTTTTAATTAGATAAATTTCTTAGGATAATTTATATTATTTATTTTAAATTCTGAATTTATATGTTTTATTTATTTCATAAGATAAAACTGAAATTATTTAAATAAAGTTTGTGAATTTTTTAAAAAATAATTTAGTAAAAATTTAATAAAAAATTTAAATTAATTAATTGATAGAATTAAAAAAATTAATAAAATAAAAATATTTAAAATATTAATTATAATTTAAATTTAATTAATATTTATTAAACGATAAAATTGTTATTATTTTTTAAAAAATATTTGTTTAATAAATATATCATAATTATTAAAATGTTTTTCAATTTTATATTTTTAATTTATAAATTTAAATTTTATTTATTCATTTATAATAAAAAATTTTACAAATTGTATTTATAAAAATTTATATAAGTATTTTCCTTATTTCACATTTTAAATCAAAGTGTAAAAATTTATCATGGGTAAGAGAAAATGGCACTTGAAATTAAAAAAAAAAACAGCATATTTTGCCCTTATTTTAGAATTTATAATTAAAAAATATATGTTAAAACAAAATTTAAAAGTTTTATTTTTACATGTTAAAATTTAATAGTTAAATTACAGAGTTCGAGAGAAATGACAAAACCGACAACGAAATGCGAATCCGAAATTAGTCGCCACAAACCAAACGAGAGGCAAAGAGTAGCCAAGTCAGCCATTAATAGATGAAGAAGCTAACAGCTTCAACAAGCCACACGATTTTCCACCGTCACCCATTTCTTTCTGTTCATATATATTTTTCTTTAGTTAGTTCCCTTTAAGTCCTTACTTTCTCAACTTGTTTTTAATATTATCTGACTTCAATTTTGGTAGAAACTTGGATTAGAGAGTGAATTACTTAGTACACATTTCAATATTTGATCTTATCTTTGGTTTTTTTATTAAGTTTTCAAGAATCTCACGTTAAAGAAACCCTTTTTTTGGTGTTATTGTTGTTTCTGGCATTTGGGTATTGTTTAATATAATGAAGGAATCAATTTAAAAGAATTTACTTAAAGTTTTGATCTTGTTGTCCTAAAAATTGAAATGGGTTTCCTAAAGCTTTCTCATTTTTTCCCCATTGATACTTTTGATTTATTTGACTTTGAATTATGCTAAAGGTTTATCGTTTTTGGTTTGTTTCTGGATTTCATTTTATGAACTTGGAATATTTCATTAATCATTTGTGTTTATATTGGAGATTGATGTGTTGCTTTTTTTGGAAATTTAGCAGATATGAGAGTTTGGTGAATTTTCCCAGATTGGGTTGCTATTGAGAACATTTGAACAATGTTGCCTGTTTGCTCAGCCACCTCTGGTTGTTCTTCACATTCTCAGGTGGAGAGTTCACTTTCAACCATAAAGTTCCTTCTTCTATGCACAATTTGACTTGCTTGTACTGCTCTATTTTTTCTTTGAGTTAATGGTTTTAAATCATTTTTGAAATCTTGATTGTTTCAAGCTTGAAACTATAAAATTTAATTGCTTATGGAACATTCAATCTTGTTGAATGTTGAGGAGTTTGTACTAGTTGGTTAGTGCGTGAATTAGAGCTGCATTGAGGGGGGAATGCTTTGTGTCAGTAAAGACCATACATTCTCCTGTTTGAAGTCTTTACTCTTTAATATGTCCTAGTTATTTTAGGAATTTTTGTTTATAGGAAAAGTTAGTAGACTGCTGTTTTATCTTCCATTGCCAAGGTATGCATTTTCTTGTGTAACAAATGTTTTTCCCAAATCCTGTCATACTTTTAAAATAGTATTGCTTAATTGTTTTTTAAGAAACAGTTCATTCATGCATCTGAAATGATGCCTCAAGCAGATTTCTTTCCACGGAGGTTTGCGACCATTTACTCCATTCCAGAAGGACTTTCAGTTCAGATGTAATGCTCAAGACAAGTCTGTTTTGGGCATGTCAAATGGAAATTATCTCGATAGAATGTCTTTTAAACCACAAGCAATGGAATCTCTCTACTCCAATTTTGTAGAAAGCACTCAACAACCAGTACCCATGGACCTCATTAACAGTTATTCTTGCCAAGATGAGTTCGATGAGGTTAAATGCAACTTTTCTAAGGTGTGGAGTTCTTCAGTTGACGCAATAAATAAGTCAACCCCAGTAGGAGTTGGGGAACTGAAATATGTGAAAACTTCTGACATATCTGCTGCAGAAGAGAAACTTAAGGATTTAACAGAGCAGTCAGTTGAAAATGCCAATAATTCCATGGGGATGGTGGGACCTGAAACCATGTCAACTGTTGACACAGTTCCCGAGAATCCAACTGCAGCATCTAGCTCCCTGAACTTTGATAATGATTCACTATCCAGTGTGAAAACTGGTCTTGATGATTTTCTGGCTGGGGTTAACGAGTCCTTCAACTCTTCAGTAATCAAGGGGGAGAATGCTGTGAAAAGCTTATTGGATAAAATTAATTCTTCTATAACTTCTGTTAAGACAAGTGCTTCTGAAGCTGTAGACAATGCTCAAGCATTAGCTAACAATAAGGTTTCAAACTTTTCAAGTGATTTGAAGGAAGCCTCAAGTAAAGCTAATGCTTTTGCTGTTGACTTATTGAGGCGTGCCATTGTCGTAGTGGAGGATTCTTTATCAAATGGGGCTTCGTCTGTTGTTTATTACTATGGTTCTGCCAAGGAACATCTTCCGCCAGAGATCAAGGATGCACTGACTTTGTATGAAGAGAGAACAGGAAAAGCCTTAAAGCCTGTTAGGGCTGCTCTGCAACAGGTATCCTTTTATTTGGCATTCATGAATCATGGTTTTAATGTTTTTTGATGATCCACAAACAAATTTCTTCTTGTAGATATTAGCAAGTAGCTGGCATCAATAGGAATCAATTGTGCTAAACATAGAACAATGAGTTGGGGCATATAACCTTCCTCAGTACTCAATTTTCTAGATCAAGGATAAATCTTTTTCATCAAATTCATCAATATTACTTAGATCCTGCAAAATTGGATGATATGCAGTTGAGATTCCTATCACCTATGGTTTTAACCAGTATCTATTCAGTTGTGAGCATTTTTTTTTAACTTCAATTTGCTGTAAGCAGGTTTACACTGGTATTGAGGGGTTGGAAAGGAGTGTAGGCCTTGACCCAAATGATCCCATTGTCCCATTTTTCCTTCTTGTTGGCACCTCAGCCACTTTATGGTATGAATGTTCTTATGTGCTCATTTTAATTATACATTTAAGAGAATATTTTCTTTTTTGCATGAGGAGTTTATATTTTGTATCAGATCTGTGCAGGGCGTTTTACTGGATATGGGCATACAGCGGTTACTCTGGGGACTTATCTCCAAAACTAACTTTGGAGCTCTTGTCTGGAAAGGAGAATGCTTTACTTATTGATGTCCGGCCTGAGGCAAGAGACTATAAACCTTTTTCGCCTTTTCTTCAAACTTTTTTTTTTGAGTAAAAGAAGAAAACCCCAACTCTCAAACTTAGGATCTCTATCCTAAGCCCACCCACCCCACACCTGAACAAAGTTCAAGTGAATTTTGGGCCTTATATTTTGTAGCATGAATTATTTTATGTATTTTGAGATTCAATTCAAAGATACTTAATAAAATAAGTTCTCTTAGTCCTTTCATACCCCTTTGCTTAGGTTTTAACTGCCCTCATAGATGGTTAATCTATTATTTTTCTGAGGTTAAAATTCGTTTTTCCTATTCTATTGAATTTGAAATGGCTTATTTTTGGGCATTAACTTTGAAAAGGTCTTAAGAGAGAGAGATGGCATTCCTGATCTTCGGCGTGCAGCTCGGTTTCGTTATGCTAGTGTATCTTTACCTGAGGTTTGGTTAAACATCACAATCTTACTTGAAATTCAAATTTTTAGTACTTCTGTTCTGTTGCTTGGAGCCAAATATTGCTTTTTGCCAAATAAACAATGCATATTGGTGGTTACTTATATTCTCTTTCCTGAAGCTTTATCTTTTGTGGTCTTCATTTTTATTCAGGTTAATGGCTCAATGCGGAAACTAATGAAGAGCGGAAGGGACCTTGATGACTCCTTGATTGCTACTGTTATTCGAAACTTGAAAACCATTGAGGTTTGTATCTGAGTGATTTCCATTTGTCCAAAGGTTGATCATGCACATCCAGTATTTTTCTTATTGGATCTAGCTTAAGTTAACTACTGGGCATGGCCTTTGTAACTGACCTGCGAATAGAACTTCATAACATATATATATTTTTTCTACCACTTGTAGGACAGGTCCAAGGTCATAATTATGGATGCTAATGGTAGTCGTTCTAAAGGAATTGCAAGATCATTGAGAAAACTTGGGGTTAAGGTAAGTATTTCTGAATTTTCAAAGTTCTTCTGTAAGAAAATAGCTTTGAGATACACTCAATTAGGAGGAAATAACAGAGTTATGTTACAAGGAATTCACATGGTGTATTTTTTTTTTTTTTCTGAGTTAACATTCATTTCTTAATGCCATGTCTGGAAACCAGAGTGCAACAGAGACCACAGTACCTCTTCTGAAGGATTACAGTTAGATATTTAAGGAATGTCTTTTACCTAAGGAGTGAGCATATGCAGTTCAAATTGAAGTAACCAACATGGATGAAATCTATTTAAATTTGAAATTTTCAATTTATTTGGTCTGATATGGTTTTCAAGACTTATGACCAAACCCAAACTGCAAATATGCAAGCCCCAAATGGTTGAGCCCCTAAATCCTAATCTCATTTCAGACTTCTCAACATTGCATTGTTGCCATCTCTTTCAGGCCAATATAACTCCTTTTTTGTAAATATCATATACACTAACATCTTGCACTCCTACCTGAATTATTGCATTTAATGAGTTACCTATGTTGTTTGCTATTGCAAAACAGATTGCATAAAGTAATTGTTAATTTGTAATTTACATCACAGAGACCATACTTGGTCCAGGGTGGCTTCCAGTCTTGGGTGAAACAGGGTCTCCGAATTAAGGAACTCAAACCAGAGACAACACTAACAATTCTCAATGAGGTATTTCTTATGCTCTATTCCCTTTCCTCAAAATCTTTATATAAATAATGTTCAGTGCTGATTTTTAACCAACACCAGAAGATTATGAGTTGGTTGATTGTTTTTTTTTTTTTCTTGTTTTGCAAGTAGAAGACCTCAACTAACTCTGGGTTCATATTTGTTACAGAATTGCTAGATATCTATAATATATTGGACCAAGAACAAAAGAGGGAGAAAGTAACATACTTTATTAGAATATATTTGGTCATCATGGAAAATAACAGACATTTTCTTGAGTTAATGAGATTGATTTAGGTAGTTTAGTTCTATTTTATCTGCAATCTTAGATGTTACTGCTACCAAATAAGATAGCTATTTTATAGTTCATGTTAAAAGAAATCTATCAAAAAGTTACAACTTACAAATCCCCAGCATGGATAATACATTTGAATGAAGAGCATTTCTTCTTTCAAACTGTTGGGGGAGCTTTACAGATTCTAAGGTTATTCAGGTATAGAATTGGTAGGTTTTATGTTGTGCTGGTTAGTGGTTACACGTGTCAACAACTAGGTTAAGCAACCTAAAAAAGGGGGTGGACTGCGGTCTACTGCATCCAACCTAAACTAAACTGGCAATAGATGAAGAGGCTAACATGAATGAAAGACCATTCAACCTCACATGCAATTGAGGTGGGACATACTACCACTTAACAATCTCAGTCACATACAGATGCAAGTAACTACTGAGAAGAACAGGTCTATCTTGCAGACTATACAAATGGTGCAATAAAGAAGAAACAGGGAAACAAATACCTGGATATTTATGTCATGTTAGACATCCAACCTATAAAACCAATTGGGTATTGCTAGAAAGTCCTACCTTAACACTTCTTAGCCAAATTATTACTGATCTAGGATTTCCAATGTGCCGTACTTGAATGATTTGAAATAAAAATATTCTTTCCAATTCGTTTTTTTTTTTTTTTTAAAATAATGTAATAAAGGTTGACTTGTGTTCACTCAGGAAGCTGAGGCAATCCTAGAAGATATCAGTCCTTCTCCTGTGCAAGTTCTTGGGTACAGTGTGGTAAGATCCATGTTCCTTTCGTGATACGTAGGTTTTATGGTTTATTTACTAGCTAGAATGATACCCAAAAAAGGTACTCATTATTCTAGCTCGAGTGATATCAAATTCTAACAAATATCTGTGGCAGGGTTCTGTAGCAGCAATTTATGCACTGCTAGGTATGTATCTACCACGAAATATATCATTTTTTAAAATTGAAACTTAGAAATAATGATTGATTGTGACTTATCCAAAGTATGTTGACAAACATGCAGTTTGCACTTTCTTAGAACTTCTGAAATTCATATTGTTGTGAGTTTTGATATGTAGTTCACATTATGGAGAGAGAGAGAGAGATTGTTATTTAACATTTGTTCTCTTTAACTTAATTTTTCTGCTATTTTGTCATGCTTGTGTAATTCATAACTGTTTACTTTATTTTGTATTTATGTTTTTACTGATGTTCCACTTCTTTTTCAGAGTGGGAGAAATCATTACAGCTTATTGGTATTCTTGGCCTTGTCCAGGTATGCTAATTCTCCTGGTTTAAAGTGTTGTGGTCAAGGTCTTGGTATTTGATATTGATTTCCTTGTTTGTCAAGTTGAAACAAACTTTCACGTTTCAACATTTTGAATCTTTTTGAACTGCTGTGTCTTAAAAGACAATACAGAGGTTTTAGTGTATTTTTAACTCACTGCAACCATTAAAACTTGGGTCTTAATGGTCTGGGTTTATCATGAGAAGGGTGATTTCTTGTAAAATGGCAACTGTAGTTCAACTGTTATAGATGGTATTGTGTGGTATAACCCTTTAGTGCTGATATCATATTTAAAATGGATTCTTTGTAGATCATTGGGTGATATTGACTTCAATCCTCTTGTAAGAAATTTTCCTATAGTGCCAAATATGATAAAACCAGAGAATGTCAAATGTTGATCATCATATTATCTGAACTAAAGGGTTTCACCTTAGATTGGTTGACACTGAGCTCACTAGGATATTACTTAAAACATATTGAGACACTCTTCTAACAAGATTAAGCATGTTCAGCTTAGCTAATGTTAATGTTGTTTGGTGTTTGTTAGCGAAATTTACTTGCGACTAAGGTTTGACTCTTCTTGCTTTATTTTTTATTGTTCAGCCTCTTCAATTTTTGGTCATAAGGCTTAGTCAATTAGCTGTTTCTTGTTCAAAAAATTGTCCTACAAAAAATTAAGAAAATTCTCATATTATGTGGCAGTAGAATGATGTCTTAGCAGGCATGTCTGACAGTCTGAGTACCGTATCTGTATTACCGTACTCAATGAAACGTCAAAATGAGATAGTTCATGAAGGACCTAAGCTGCAGTATGTGGATTCCTTAGTGATTCACTCCAAATAGCCACATTTAAACCAGAAAACAAAATCTTGGTTTCTTGAGTCCCGTGTAGGAGATCTTCATGGTAAAAAATGATTTGATGATCTTCTGACTTCTATCATCTGATTGCCATGTACTTACATGCCCTTTTTGACATTGAGAGGGTTCCTTTCATGCCTAAAATAATTACAAACCACTCATACAGAATAAGAAGTTGGCTTTTGTCCCTTGCCCCATCCTTCTCCCCTCTCCTTCTCCGTTTTCCTTTCCTTCCTAATTCAGTGTATTCACATAACAGGTTGGTTGAAAGTAATGAAAAATTATGACCATGTGAAAACATTTTCTTCATAAAATTTCTACAAACTGATCCCATGTACTAACCCGGGTCAGTTGATGTGTTCTAAATGTTTACTAATGGGGCTTTGAACTCTTGTTTTTAGTTGAGGCTTAGTGCTGAACATCCTTGGTTCAATTTCTCCTTTATTATACTTTGAAGAGAGTATTTTAGCTGTTCATTTAAATTTGGCCCTTTGATAATGGTGATCTAATGCTTCTTCATTGCTGGCTTGTGACTCCACCAGACCATTTTCCGGCGGGTCTCTTCGTATGAGAACTCTGAAGATTTGAAGAAAGACATAAGGTAAGCTACTAAGCCCTGCTTCAGAAAGCTTATAATGCTGATTTTGTCACATTGCCAGCACACGTTCTCTCTAATCACAAAATACACAAAATTTAAGGAGTATAGTTTACTCTTTGCAATTATATAACACTTTACCCTTTAGTTTTCGTTGTGCATGCTATTTTCGTAATGATATTACTATAATGATGGGTAAAAATGTAAAACCAGGCATTAATATTGACCTAATTTTAGTAAACGACATGTTTTGAGGCAACTGAAAAAGAAACTAAATTTCTTAAGACAAGTGAATTTTTCAAATCTGTGGCGCCTGATGATGGAATCTTACTTGATACCATTGTAATAAAATGATTGTGATAACCGTAGCCAAAGCATTAATTTCATTCAGTTGATTGTGTTTTGAAGGTTGTTGCTGACTCCTGTAAGACTTGGAGCTCAGACAATTTCATGGGTTGCTGGGAAGTTAGAAACCAATCGTATCGGACTTCCAACTTCACCCTCATCCTTAGATGTTCAAAATCGAGTGTTGCAGGCAGCTGCGAAGCATGAATCTCAACCATCCGATGCAGAAGATCCATCTCCCAAAGTGATGGCTCCAATGAATGAGAAAGTTGATCTCTCGGAAGCATAGGTGTTGTGGATTTTTTTTTTTTTTTTGCAAAGCAGTGTAGCATTTCCCTTGATCATCATATTGGTGAATGCAAGTTGACCTCGCTCACTCAGATATAGTGCAAAAAGACCTTATATGGATACTTGTTCAAAACCCTAAGAACGAGTCCTGTACATTAGTTAGAAATAAGTGCAGCCATATGACATTTTTGTTATGGATTTATGTTTAATGCGCTGTTAACATATCAATGAACCATACTATCCCTTCATTAATCCTTAGAAATAAATAGACATAAACTTTAAGTATTCCTTTCTTCCTTTTAAAACCTTCTCCCCCACCATTATTACAGAATTGTTGAGGGCATTATGAAGGCTATAGTGCTTCCAAGATATCCATGTTTTGTCAAGACCTTGATTCTTGATGCATCAACAGTCATGACAAGAAGCAGCTTTGACAACAATGGACATTGAATCTTGGAGGACCTTGAATCTTGACGCATCAACAGTTATGGAAAGTTGTTTGTCTTGCGGGATTGATATGTTCAACATCCAACGCTTCTGTCTTTCAATACAAGCAAACTCCCTTCCTGGACTTCACAAAAACTATCCTTCACTCTTTGTGATGCATCAGAAAGCATGAGTTTAATCTTTGTTTTCATGTTACCTCTAACACTGTCCATATCAAACAGCAAAGGTACATATCAAAGCTTTTGTGTTTTGCCAATCACATTTCCATATCAATTATATTTGCAATGTCAGACTTGGCAATTGAGGTATCTCTATGACAAACATCACACAATAATTTTGACATTGAGTTATACAGTTTCCAGGTCAGGGACACTAAAATACTTCACCAAAAGTGTTATCTTTTAAAAGTTGAAACTCAGCATTTCTCATTTATGCTTTAACCCTTGGGAAAATCACTTCACGTATGTGTTTAAACCTAGGATAAGTCTAGCAGAAAACATTAAAATTATTCTTCACATGCTTACATTTCGACTCTTGGGACATAGATGTCGCACAAATATCATAAGATGGCTCAATAGACACGGACCCATTGGGCAGACCAGAATTACACCAGCCAATATTTTAGTTCTTTACTGGTAAAAAGAAGTACAAGGGCAATAGTACCTTAAATCCTGTCAAGCTGTCCTTGTTGATCAGAAATCCCAAAAAAAAAAAGGGTGTTCAATGGGTACTCAATACCAGGTTCCACCAAAGGCGTTCATTCGTTAAATACAAGAGTTAATTCAAGAAATCCATCTTACAGAACAATTTAAACAATGTTCAGGGGCTAAACACCCAAAGTAATTACTATTGGGGCATTCTATATATGGTGCTTCATCATCCTCTATAATCCTAAAACCAAATGTTTTCTTTCATTACCGTGGAACAAAAATGATAGGAAATTCAATCCCCCACCTTCACACCAACACCCGCACAACCAAATCCTCGTACACAGTTCGATCCCTGGCTTTTCACTTGCTGTCAGTGAAATCTGCATCAATTACATCCCCATCAGACCCCTTGTTTGATGAATCTGAAGGCCCACTTTCGGCACCGGGTGAAGGCCCACCACCACCTCCTGCACCAGGTTGGTTGTAGAGAGACTGGCCAAGCTGCATGACTTCTTGGTTAAGGGCAGCCATGGCCTCCTTCATACCTTGTGTTGAGCCACCTGAAATTGCATCCCTAAGCTCTTGTAGTTTTGCCTCCACTTTCTCTTTGACTGGACCTGGAACCTTGTCTCCAAGCTCCTTCAGCTGCTTCTCTGTCTGGTAGACAACAGAATCAGCCTGGTTCTTTGTGTCTATAGCATCTCTTCTCTCCTTGTCCTCCTTTGCAAACTTCTCAGCTTCCTTTACCATTCTATCAACCTGCATATTACAACAACAGAATTAGGAAATGATTTATCAAAGGAGGAATTTCCAATAATTACATCCAAAATTCAATGCAAATGTATAAATTCATGACACCAAATAAGTGCAAATAATTTGTGGAATGGCTTAAGAGCAAATTCCGAGCAACAATAGAACTACAACCCAAAATTAAATGCATACCTCATCATTGGGCAAGGTACTGGCACCAGTAATAGTAATGTCCTGCTTCTTCCCAGTTCCCTTATCAACAGCAGTGACAGAGAGGATGCCATTGGCATCAATGTCAAATTTGACTTCAATCTGTGGAACCCCACGTGGAGCTGGTGGGATACCATCAAGACGGAAGCTGCCAAGAGATTTGTTATCCCTAACAAACTCTCTTTCACCTTGGAGAACATTAATCTCAACACTTGTCTGGCCATCAGCAGCTGTTGAAAACACTTCTGATTTGGAGGTTGGCAGTGTAGTGTTTCTCGGGATGATTTTCGTCATAACACCTCCAAGAGTTTCTAGACCAAGTGACAAAGGTGTCACATCCAAAAGCACAATATCACTGACATCTCCAGCTAAAACACCAGCCTACAACCAATAGGGAGACAGAGGGAAAAACATTAAAAATATAACTTAAAAATGATTATAAAACAAGTTGCAGTGAACCCTATAACCAACCCTGTCACATTCAATAGCAAAGGAACAAGTATTATAGAGCTATTTCTATAACTTAACAACCCACCTGAACTGCAGCCCCCAAGGCAACAACCTCATCTGGATTGACTGTAACATTAGGTTCTTTGCCAGTCATCTTCCTCACAAGTTCCTGAACAGCAGGGATACGTGTTGATCCACCAACAAGAATTACCTCATCTATGTCTTTAAAGGAAAGTTTTGCATCCCTCAAGGAATTCTCCACTGGTCTCTTGAGCCTACAGAATATATTAAACAGACAAGAGCAACTTAAAATCTCCCGTGATTAAGCACAAAAAATTAGGAACAATATGACCAGATTTCTCCTTTTCTTTTGCTTTTTTTTTTTTTAAATAACAGAATATAAACAGATTGAAGTAATAAAAACTACCTGTCAAGTAGGTCTGAGCACAATTCCTCAAACTTAACCCTGGTAAGGGTGGTCTCAATATGTTTAGGCCCATCTGCAGTGGCTGTAATGAAAGGTAAACTGGAACCAAAAAAGAAAAAGCTATGTATTAAACGCTACACAGAAAATGCACAAACAATCATGTACATAAGGAAAATGGGGAGAGAGAGTTGCCTTAGGTTTGTCTGAGTCAAAGATGATAACTCCATTTTAGCTTTCTCAGCTGTCTCAGTTAACCGCTGAAGTGCTTGTTTGTCTTTTAAAAGATCTATGCCTTCATCTCTCTTAAATTTGTCAGCAAGCCAATCAACAATTCTCTGCACGTGAAACAAGATACATATAACATACTTCAGCACTAAAAAGATACATCTAACACAAGGGAGAATGTTTGTTTGTCCGACTATACCTACCTTATCAAAGTCATCACCACCCAAATGAGTGTCTCCAGATGTAGAGAGCACCTCAAACACTCCATCACCAACCTCAAGCACTGTAACATATTAACAAACAGACAATAAAACAATTACTGGTATCTTGACCAATAAAAGATAAATGAAGTCAATCATTGTAACATAGAACTTAATGATACATGCAGATAAATAGTTTCTCAACTGACCAACATACCTGAAACATCAAAAGTACCACCTCCAAGATCAAACACAAGGATGGTTTCATTGCTCTTCTTCTCAAATCCATATGCCAGAGAGGCAGCAGTAGGTTCATTGATAATTCGGAGAACTTCTAACCCAGCAATTCGACCAGCATCCTTTGTTGCTGTCCTTTGGGAATCATTGAAGTAAGCAGGGACAGTAACAACAGCTTTGGTCACTTTGTCGTTCAAAAACTTTGAAGCATCATCAACAAGCTTTCTCAAAACCTATTCCAAAATTAGAAATACCCCATTAACAAGAGAAAGATTCTAAATTTCTAACAAAAAAAAACTGCCATATTCTTAGACTTTAGCTTATAAATGCCATTGTGAAGCTCCATCCAGTGTCAGTTATGGATTTTTATGCATTCATTGCTAATAAATTGAAAGTTCCATAGACTTTGGTTTCGAAAACATTTCCAATTTCTCAAATTTCTAATCCTGACAATTTAAAACATGACATGGTGACATGATTCGAAAATGATAATAAAAAACGAAGATGACATGGTTTAAAATTATACAAGGTGACATGATTCGAAAATGATAATAAAAAATGAAGATGACATGGTTTAAAATTATAGCAAAAACCCTATATGGGTTTGGTAATTTCAAAAAAATGTATTTCATGCTTTCATGTCAACTCAAATTTTGATACACAATTTTAGTGTAAAACACAATACAAATACACGAATTATGAGTAATTTACAGGTCATGGATACACCAATTACCAGGTCTATAAATTTCCTAGTCAAAAACATTTAATAAGCACAACAAGACAACCCAATTCATGACTAAACATAACAGCAAAAGTAAGAAGCCAGAAACATACTATACCTGAGCTGAAATTTCCTCGGCAGCGAATTGTTTACCAATGGCAGGACACTCAAGCTTAACATTCCCGTTCTCATCTCTAACGACCTTGTAAGAAACCTGTTTGGATTCCTCATCCACTTCAGACATCTTCCTTCCTATAAACCTCTTAACAGAGAAAAACGTGTTCTCAGGGTTCACAACGGCTTGTCGTTTCGCAATCTGCCCAACCAGCCTATCCCCACTCTTGGTATATGCCACCACAGACGGCGTCGTTCTTTGCCCTTCAGCATTTGTAACAATCGTGGGTTTCCCTCCTTCCATAGCCGCCACAGCCGAGTTAGTAGTCCCGAGATCGATTCCCACCACTTTCTCGTTCACGACTCTCACCGGCCCAACATTGTACCGTTTATTATTGTTGTTGGTTTTGGCGAGTCGTAAGAAGGCGGCGTTCAACGGCGACGTTTTGCCCAGTCTTTGACCGAAGAAAGCCGTTCTGGGTGACTGGTTGCTGTTGGGTTTTCTCGAAGAAGCGAAACCGATAGCTCCAAGGACGTGGATTTGGGCAGTGGAAGAAGCCATCTTTTTCAAGTGTATTTAACAAAAAACAACAATTATAAGAACAACGAATTGAGAAACTGAGAAAAAAAAGAACAACCCAAATTTCCAAAGGCAAAAGCAAAGGCCAAAGGCTTAAGCTTTAAGCTTGGCTGGGCTTTGGGTTGGGAAGAAGATACGAGAAAGGGCGAGAAGGGTTTAGACCTGTTTAGAAAACGATGGAGTGTGATTGTGTATGCGTTGCGGAGTGTTCGAGGGTTAGGTGGTGACACGCGGTAGATTCTAGAATGATCTGAAATGGTTGGTTTTGAGGACCGTTGGATTTAATACTTTTGTCGCTGTTTGAATGGAAAGAAAGGACGAAACAAAGATCCAGGTGCTTGGAGAATTTGAGCCGAAAGCTGAACCCATTGTTGTTGTTTCAATAAAAACCTAGTCTTGAGAAAACCCAAAGGCGGAATAAAGGTTTCTAGTTTTTTTTTTTTTTTAAATGAAAAATGACTCATTATCATTTTTGAACAAGTAACCCAAACATGCCTTTAAATTTCTCAAAGTTATCCTGTTGAGAAAATGTAGTATTTGAGAATTTTTGGCTAATTCATCCGATCGTTTTCATTACATTTAACAATTTTAAATTTTAAAATTTAATATTTATAATCATTTTTAATATTTTTGTATTGTAATTTTATTTGCATAAAAAAATTTAGTATTTGTGTTTTCATCATAATTATTAATTTCATTTCGTATTGATCATTTCAATTATATTATTTAATGATTATTTTTTGTATCAAATTTGATATTAGGTAATATTAATTATTTTTATTAATTTTGATCTATTTTAATAAATTTTGATGAAATAATATGTTTCGATCGTATGTAAATATAAAATATATTTTATAATTTTTAACTTATTTTTTGTTATTTAATATTTTTAATCTAATAAAAATAAAATTAATTAACAAAATAACTCTTAAATTGAGTTTTTTTATTTTTTATTTTTTATAGTTTATTTTTTAAAACTAAAATTTATAAATATTTCATTTTTTTTTTAAGAAAACAATTATACTTATTTTATAAATTTTAACAATCATAAAGTTTTAGTTAATTTTTTCATTTCTTTATTTTTATCTTAATATTTATATAAAAAATACTTATTTAAATATTATATTATCAGATTAAGTATTTAAAAATATCATAAAAAAATTTATGATATTATTTTTTATACTTTTAAACTTATTTATTTGATTTTTGAATATACTGCATATTTATTTTGTAGATTATTAATAATTTATAATGTATAAGTTCATATATGTTTATAAATATATTATACTAAACCTTAAAATTCTAAATAAGATACTAAATCAATTGATATCAATATATAACGTATTTTTTAAAAAATCGAAACGTTATATGATATGATATTAATAACCTTGGTTTCATCTAATCATGCTTTTTAAAATTAGTAACTAAAAGTTTCCATTTAATTTCTATTCAAGATTATGGGATGGAAATACATTAATTTCACCAGCCTGATATATGTAGTGGCAAGTAGAAACCATACATACAAGTTATGATAAAAAAAAAAATGTGGAATTCATTACTGAACCTACTCAGCAGACATAATCAGAAACAAGCATCATTGAGTTCACTTGTAACAAGGAAAGGGATAATATGACAAAAGCTTGAGTAGTTTTTATGAAGACAAAAAAAAAATGGAGGAATCTGATAAAAACATTAGACATCTCATCAACAGCTTGGTTATCTAAGTCATAACCTTCAACTAACTTCAGTGACAAGGATTTTGGAAAGGAATGTGAGATTTTTATGAACTTCAACAGACAACAGACAAAGGAATGTTATACTTCCAAATGGCAGATGCTTCAGATTCTTGCAATACCAAATTGTCAACTCTTGAAGAAAAGGGAGCTTCCCATCCACTTGGTCAAGGCTTCTACTCCATTAAAGCTCCATGTATGAAATTTCTGAAGGCAGTAAGTTGTTGAGACATGAAGAAAACCAACATGTTATCTTTTACAGAAAGCAATAATTTTGTGATTTAGTAGCAACTGTTTAAAAGAAGTAATCGCAGACAAGCAGAATTTTTGTGTTCTGATGTATGAATTTTCAGGAATCAAAGGGCCAATCTCCTTGGCTCATCTTGTCTCTAATTGAGTACAACATACAATCCGAAATGTTTTTAATTTGGAAAGGCTTTGCAAAACATTCAGAGAAGGCAGATACATGAAATTATCACATGAAATGATTTTCAGCTGCTCTAGGAAGGAGAGGTTTCCCAACCACTCAGGCAAGGCTTCTATTCCTTGAAACCTTTCCAGCGTCAATATTCGAAGGCCAGCGAGGTGTTGAACTGGGTGAGGCAGAGACTTTAGCTTTTCCCATCCAATCAAATACAAAGATTGAAGGGTGGCACTGAGGTGTTGGATGGAATTGAGACCTGGGAATTCCTCCGGTTCCTGTGAGAAACCACCAAGCTTTAATGCCTCCAAATTGGTGAGGCTACCAAAGCTGACATCTGGAATGCTTTTCAATCTTGGACACTCCACTATGGTTAACTCATCAAGAGAACGCAATTTCCCCAAACTTTCAGGAATAGATATCAGATCCGACAAACCAGATATTCTCACCAAACTAAGGCAAGTGGTGGATCCCAGCAACTTTGGTAGCACACAGGTTGAGCCTTTGCCTGCTTGAATAAAGATTAATTTTGCAAGAGAAGAGACTTCATCTATATCTGGAATGGACCTCAAATTTGGGCAAAACTCTATGCTCATTTCTTCTAGACGTGTAGAAGTAGACAGTCCATCCCCAATGCATATCAATTCCTTGCACTCATGTATAATGAGTTTCCTAAGAGATGAAAATTCACCCATTATAGGAACACTTCTTAACTGGGGGCATTGGCTAATCATCAACTCTCCAAGAGAAGAGAACCCATCCAATCTTGAAACAGAGGTTAAATACTTACAATCATCTATCTTCAAAGATATGAGACAACTGGAAGTGGGCAATACATCTTCAAAGTTGCTTTTTGTTTCACAACCGCCAATATGGACAAATTCAAGAGATGATAGTGGTCTTGTTATGGGAACTCTCTCCAATTTGTAACAGCAAAAAACTTTTAGACTTTGAAGACAGGACAATCCTTCTAAACTTGGAAAGGAGATTAAATTAGGACAATAGGAAAGAGATAATTCTTTAAGACAAGCTGCAGCTGACACCTCATCTCCTATCTTGCTTAATATTGGACACTCGGAAATGCGGAGCTTTTGAAGAGATGAACATCTTCCAATTATGGGAACATTTTCCAGTTTGTCACAGCCAGAAATATCAATAATTCGAAGAGAGGAAAATCTTGCCAAATCTGGAATGAAACTTAAATCAGGACAACCCTCTAATGATAATTCTTGAAGACAAGTGGAGGTAGACAGCCCATCTCCTGTCTTACTTGGTTTCCAACACCAGGAAATCCGGAGGATTTCAAGAGATGAACATCTTCCTGTTATGGGAACAATTTCCAATTCATCGCAATCAGACACATCCAGACTTGCAAGAGTGGAAAATCCATCTAAATTTGGAATTGAGCACAGATTTGAACACTCTGCAATGGTTAGTTTCTTAAGATGCTTGGAAGTAGCTAGACCATCCTCTATGCTGCTTAAGTTTGAACACTGCTTGAGATTGAGCTTCTCTAGTGAAGAATATTGTCCAGTCAGTGGAACACTTTTTAAGAAGGACAATCAAAGATATCCAGATCCTCTAAGCAAGGAAACATGACTGATGCCGCCATTGCTGCCCATTCTTCTAGTTTTGGCATTTCTTCTAACGTGAATCTTTTTAATTCAGGAAACACCGTGATCACCTCATTATTACCGTGTCTACTTTCATTGCAGTAAAATTCATCACCCAAACATTCCACGTTCTCCATCTTTGTCAGTGTAAGAAATTTGAGATTGTGCAGTTGACCCTAAGGTGGAAGACTTTTACAGTTGATGCATTCGATTAGTTCCAACTCCATCAAATTGTCAAGTAAAAACAAACCATTATCAGGTCTTAACATCCAAGAGGGAAACTTCTGTCCTGCATAATTCCGAATAATTAAGCTCAGCAAATTTGGGTGAGGTTGGAGATTCTCCAACACTTCTTCAAGATTACCATAGCCTCCTCTCATAGTGCTCCACTCAAAAATTAGCTTGCCTAAATATGGTTTATTGCATAGCCTGGCTCCCCTAGCCTCATCTTTGTCTTTAACATGTTCGAGCTGGCATATACGCAATTCACCAACAAGTTGGTTTAGGCATTTTAGCTCATCATTACGATGCCTCCTTTCTACAGCCCCCACAGCAAACATTGGCAACGTTTGAAGAGAAGTTAGGTGTTGGAGATCAACCGGTTGAAGTATTGCAAGATCAAAATGAATGTGCCTCAAGCTGATTAAATTTCTCAATCCATCTGGAAGTGTGAGTTCCCAACAATCAATGAACCTCAATGTTTGCAAATTGTAAAGTCGGGTTATGGATCGAGGCAGTGTTCTGATGGAAGTCTCCGAGACATCCAAATACCCCAAGTGCTTCAATTCGCCCATGGCAGCTGGCAACTTAAGATTAGTACAACCAGCACCAAAAAATTTTAGGACCCTTAAGCTTTTGAAGGTCATTGACATTTTCTCAAACACATCAATCTTTGAAAACAAAGAGTGCAACTTTGGAGCAACTGCTTTTACAAGTCTTGGTATTGATTCTCCGTGATGACTGACAGCAAGATGCCGAGTATGAGAAATTCCATCTGTGGTGGAAGTGGAATTGGCTTTGAAAATCAAAGTTTCAACTTTTGACACAGACACAGCTAGATCATGCACCATGTCGTGCATGTTGCATGTGAGAACATTCCCGCATGTATTCTTCTCCACATCAAGGAATAAGGAATTTGGAAACAATTCATTGAAGTATTTGTTACCAATTTCCATCATTGTCATAGAACTGCCATCAGGAGCTTCAATAAATCCTTCAGCGATCCAAAGCTCAATTAGTTGCTCTTTTTCAAAGCAAAAATCTTCAGGAAACATGGCACAATATGCAAAACATTTCTTTAAAGATGGAGAAGACAAGTGATCAAAACTTAATTTTAACACACCTTCCACCGAGCCCCATAAATCACTTTCTTGAATTTTCAGCCATGCACCCTGATTCATATCAATTTTGCTCATCGTTGTTCCTATAACTGTTGCTAATAGTGGCACACCTTAACATTTTTCAACAATTCCCATTCCAATTGACTCCAATTCTTGAGACATCGGAGAGCCCCTAATTGCATATTTTTTAATTATGGACCAACATTCATCAACTTCCAATCTTCCTGGTTCATGCCTTTGATAAGAAAGTGGTTGCACTTTCAACGCCACATCTTGATTTCGAGTTGTTACAATGATTCTGTTCCCCCTATGTTTATTGAATCCTATCAAACAAAGCTTTAGTTCTTCCCATTTCTCAACCTTCCACACATCATCAAGCACAAGAAGGTACTTGAACACATCTTTAAGCTTCTTCTTTTGAGCCTGTTCCATCTTCTCTTTCAGTTTCTCAACTATTGCATTCACGCTTTCAGATATTAAGGTCTGTGTATTTGGAAAATGATCTAACATCTCTTTCAAAATTCTTTTCATTTCAAAATTATCAGAAACATTGACCCAGAATTTTACATCAAAATGCCTCTTCACCTCCCCATCATTGTACACTAGCTTTGCCCAAGTAGTTTTTCCAATTCCTGCCATGCCCACTATAGGTACAACAGAGACAACTTCCTTATCATTTGGATTGATCAACAAGTCAACTACTTTTGAGACATCATTTTGTCTTCCGACGACTTTTGAGTCATCCAGGAAGGATATGGTCCCCACATTTGACTCTCCAAATGCAGGAATTATGTGTTCAATAGCTTTCTGTTCGAGATGAAACTGATGGCCAATTTGTGAAGGTCATCTAATGTGTTGAAGATGCCCTTAATTTTATTAGCCATCTTGAGAAGAAACACAATGGGATTTTTGGAGCAAGAAAAAAAGTTGAGTAACTTTCTCCTCAATTGGTTCCGAATCTCCACCTTCCTTCGAAGAATTTCATGAGCAAACTCATCCAGGACATCATCAGCATCATAAGCAACATCTTTGAGCCTCTCCAATCAAACCTTCACTGAGTTACTCCTTGTTTGCCTTTCCTCTGCGTCGACCAAGAAAGCTTTAATCATTTCTAGAGAGTCGCGAAGCCTTTCCCGCTCTCCCTTGAAACCCCATGCAAGGTTGATCTGCTCAGCTGCAATTGAAATCACTTTTGACACCAGTCCTTCCACAACAGGACCAAGAAGAGCTTCAACCATCTTCGCTCCAATACTTTGAAAAGTTTGAATTGTTAGAAAAATCTTACATAAACAAATGTAAATGTACTTCAAACAGATATTGCATCGATTAAAGGTCTTACCATGTTCAGGAAACGAAATAAACAAATGGATTGCTTTTGGTAAAACTGATAAAAAGAAAAATTTGAAGTGTGGTCTCGTGTCTTAAATGGAACCGTTTTGCTAAGGAATCTTCAAGTTGTTCCTTTCCGACAAGTAGTAAAGAATTTGTATAGAATACAAATTCCTAACTTCAATTGCATTTATTTATATTCTTTGAATTCTTTCAAGTGGCTTCTTCTTTGAATATTTTTTCTTTTTCCTTCTGCTACAATAGCTTGTAGACCATTTGCCCTTTCCATTATGCCATCTACTCCAATATTATTTGCATGAGATGAGGCAAATTTTAGGAGAATTTTTTAATTAAAGTTCATAAAGTTTTTATTAAAAGTGATTAGATAAAATTTAAAATAAAAAAATTAAATAAAAAATTGAAATGTTTCATTACATCAAAAATCAAAAATTGAAAATTTTATTTATAATTTTATCAAATTTATAAATAAAAATTATTATTCCATTAATTGATTTTATAAATAAAAATTCTAATTAAATTAAAAGACATTCAATGAATTATTTGATTAATAAGATTTGTCCATTTATAAGTAAAAATCATTATTCAACATAAACTTTATGTATACATTATGTAAATTTTAATTATTTTTTCACAATGTATGCAATAAAATGTTCAATATATAAAAAAGATTTAAAATAATAAAAATAAAAATAATATATAAACTAGAAAGGATTGTTTTAAGAATTTAAACTTGATTACTTTTTATTAAAAACCATACAATTTTTAAAGCTTTTGTTTGAGATTCCTTTCTTTGCAATTTTCAATTTCACCCATCCAAATTTTCTGATCTTACATTCATTCCAAAATTAATTGATAATAAATAAAGAGTTAAATTTGAATATAAAATTATAAAAAATAAAAATTTAACATGTGTAAGAATTTAAAAAGTCGTTCAATTCTTTAAAATATACGTAGCTTGCATCCATCTTAAAATTAATTAATAATAAATTTAAGGTCAAATTTAAATATAAATCATAAAAAACTAAAAATTTAATAGATGTGTGTTAAAATTAGCATAGTAATAATAATAAAAAACAATAAAATAGAACATGTGTTTTATAAGTATTTAATCTAAAATCACTAAACTTAATACAAAATCATAAAAAATCTAAAATTTAATAAATATGGGATAACATTATATTAATATATCTAATTTTAATTAATACTTAATTTAGTAAGATCAAACATTGCGAATGAAAATTGCAATGGCAGCAATTTGGTGAGAAGAAATGCATTGGAAATATCTCCAATAACTCAGCCAATTACATCATTAGGACATAAAAAGACAAATACAAGTGAATTAGTATAAATATAAAGATAATCCATGCTCTATCTTGATCTTATCTATCTATCTAAGCTAGGGCTTGTTTTTTTTCATTTTTATAGATAGTCTTTCTTTTTCTTCCTTTTGGAAAAGAGAAGATTGGAATTTGGGACCTTGTGCCTTGCCAGTAAAACATTGGTCTGCCAACTAATGGCTGGAGAAGGCAAAGGCATAAGACATGGCGAAGGCTTTCGTGGGTTTAAAATTTTGTGAATATCTGTATCTAATTTATAAGATATTATTTATTTTAATTTAAATATCTTATAATTTTATCTTATAAAAAATATTTTATATATTTTAATTTAAAAGTTTACATATATATCATAATAAATCTTTTAAATCTTTTAATGTGAACATTAAAGCTTGACGTTTCTATTAAATCCGATAAAAAGTACATATCAAATATTAAAAAAATCCAACACAAAATATATAAGATCATAATATCACATCAAATATTGAAATTTTATAGCTTTAGAGGTGACTTTTAAAATGTACCATACATTTGGTGATCACTCTGATATCATTTACGAAAATTCACGTTTAATTTATGAGATATTATTTATTTGATATAAAAATCTTACGATTTTATCTTACAAAAAAATTTTCATAAATTTTAATTTTAATTTTTATATATATATCATAACAGATTTTTTGAATCTCTCAATATAAAATTGAGGTATCTCAACTTTCATTAGAACAACAAATAATATATAGCCTAAGTGATCGTTTTAGCATTTTTATTATCTTTCGATCCTTAATTTGGAGCAACATGACAAAGTAGTATAAAGCTTTCTCGGTAAGGTGAGAAACCAATTCTTGTCCCTGTAAGTTTTTGGAGCATTCAAAATGGCCATTGTCAGTTATAAATCAAGATTAGAGATAGAAGGTTTTACGAGTGTTGTCGGAAACAAAACACGCGCAACAGTCATACACATAAATAATAGAGCAACCTCAAAGATAAAAACATATATTTTGTTCCGCCTAATTTAAAATGAACTGCTCCAAAACCAATATATTATTTACAATTAAAAGATTTTTAGAACGAAAAAAATCAGAAAAATTTTTTTACTCAAACTTAATCTGTAAATCACATTTGTGGCTCTACCACTAAGGTATACCAGATAATCAAAGGCAATCTTCCCAGCTAGCATCAGTGATGCAAAAGAGTGCCAACCTTCCAAGACAAAGAAGTAGTAGAGGAATAAACCTGAATTAATAAAAACAAGATCTGCCCAATATACAAGCCGATTGTAAAGAAACCTTGTCTGAACAATTATCTGAGGATGAATGTACTTGAAAATACAGACAGGTTTGGATAACACTGCAAGTGGGAAAGGCAGAGGTAGCTTTTTATGCCTTCACCAGAAAGATGATCACTCTCTTGCAATATAGAAGTGATCTCAACAGGGTCCAAAAAATTACAGTCTTGTAATCCAAATTTGAGTTCTGATATTAATTTGGTCCTGCAAGTGAGAAATAATTTCCATTTATCAAGTTTTCTGATCGGTACCATAGCATAAGCTTATGCAAGTTAAAAGTGATGAGAAGTCAGCGGCTGAACCCTCATTTAAGAATTAGAAAATGATAAAATAACTGAATTTCTAAGAACCTCAGAAAAATAATGCCTAAAATTTGCTAATTCAAGCAAGGTCATAATAACTTGGTCACTAAATGCATGAACTTTGAAGTTTCTAGAGCAATGGAATGCAGCTTAAATGTTGAATCTACCAGGAAGTCAGTGACTTGGTTGAGTAAAGAGAAAACCTTGTGCACCAGAGAAGCAAAAGCCATGACCAATATCTGTAACCAAGCAGACAAAAACTGCTAAAAATGTCAACAAAATGAAAACAATAGCCTTCTATAGATTTTGAGACAGAGGGGGGCAAAAGCATACCACTATAGAAACACTATGCCATCTGCCACCTGACTGTAGAGCCACAAACTCAGATACCTATGTCTCCAGAGAATGTTTTCTCACCTGAAATGTTGATCTCCTACATGGTTTCATTAGCCTGGAAGAGAAGTAGATGACAAGGATGAAAGCAAACTCAAAAATCATCACCCGACTGTAGAGCCAGAAGCTCAGATACCCATGTCTCCGGAGACTGTTTTCTCACCTGAAATGTTGATCTCCTACATAGTTTCATTAGCCTGGAAGAGAAGTAGATGACAAGGATGAAAGCAAACTCAAAAGTCATCATATAAAGAATAAGTAAAAGGAATGAAATAATGCTTCACCTAATGCTTTACCGAAAGTCAAATATACCTTCAAACTCAGGGCATCACTAATTATAATTTCAAAGTCATGAAATGACAGACAAAAGAAGGAGTTGATGCAAACAGAATAGGTATCGTGACATGAAATGCTGAAATCCTTCTTAGATGAGCATGGAAGCAAACTACTCGGAAGTCTTATGGCTCCCCATTACATCATCCTTCCATGTAAACTGGTACATGATGGTAGACTTCTATGCCCTCAACTTGATGTATACAGTGATCTCCTTTGGAACTAAGAAGTTTCTCCTTCTTCTGAGAAGGGAACTAAGATGTTTCAGAACAGGATGAGACAGAAAGAAAAATAAGCATGTCATAAAACAAAGAAAGCAGCAGATATTGTTGAGGAACACCACAGCTTTGATATCATTTGTTGAAAAAAACAATACCCACACACAAAACCCACACATAAAAATCCGCTAACAAATAAATCTTTACAATTGTATACTTTTAAAATGAGAAAAGTCTCATAAAACTTCTTACTCAAAACTTAACCCAAAACTCAATTACACTCTTTAATAGCCTACTCACTTAGCCATTCTCTTTGTGTCTAACTCAACAAATAAATATTTGCAACTGTAAGACTTTTAGAATGAGAAAAGTCTCCTAAAACTTCTTACTCAAAACTTAACCCAAAACTCAATTACACTTTTTAATAGCCTACTCACTTAGTTATTCTCTTGGTGTCTAACTCTTTGAGATTTTCAAACTAAAAACAAAATACCTTATTTATAAGGGTGAAACCCCTTATACTTTTACTAAACTCCCGATGTAGGATACTGGACAAATTCAAAACTCACTAGCAAATCCCAACAAATCTTCCTTTGACTTAAATCTCCAAACACTTCAACAATATCTGCAAAGCTAACACACTTACCTTTCTTCTTTTCTTTCATTATAGGGATCCCAGCAATTGAGCTTTCATCAAGCATGTACAAGTGATTTTTGACCCTATTCTCTTATAGAATCACATTATCATTCTTGTACACTTTCAACCAATCATTACTATCATAAAGTGATCAAATTGTAGTGACAACTTAGTACATATTTTACATGATGAAGTGTCCTAATAACACCATTGTGAGATCTAAGGCGAACACTTCCAATGCCTTGAATCTGCAACTTTTCTTTGTTAGCAACCATAATATCCCCATACTTTTCATTCTCATCCAACTCCACAAAGCAACTCCTATCATTGCAAACATGAACTGTAGCAGCTGAATCTAAAATCCAACCTTTATCACTTTTCAAAGTTTGAGTCTTATCAACACAAATTGTCAAAATAACATCATGATCATCAGACATGACAGCAGTAATATCACTTTTTTCTTCATCTAATTTCTTCTCATCATTCGTCCTTTTGAAAGCAGTCATATCCCTTCTCAGCTTCCTGCAGCGTACTTGAATATGTCTTTTTTCACTACAACAATAACATTCTATATCACTGTAATCTCTGTCTCTTGACTTGGATCTCCCTCTTGATCCATCAATCCTCTTTTGAGCCTTCCCTCGATCAAAACCCTCTACAGCTAATGTACTCCTCTCATGTGATGAGTTATAAGCTCTCATAAACCTTTCGTTCTCACGCAACAAGTCAGTCACATCATCCAACTTCAAAGTAGACCTACCCACCAACACAGTCTGAACTAAAGACCTATAAGACTTGAGCAAAGATGACAACAAAATTAAAGCCTTCTCTTCATCTTTTAACTCATCAACAGAAATTGCTAGCAATTGAAAAATTAATCTATTAAACTCATTCAGGTGATTATGAAGACTCATACCTTCTTCCATCTTCAGAGAATACAGATCCATCTTCAAACATAATCTATTAGTCAACGACTTCGATGCATAAATACTTTCAAGCTTATCCCATAACTCATCAACAGAAATCGCTAGAAATTGAGAAACCAATCTATTAAACTCATTCAGGTGATTATGAAGACTCATACATTCTTTCATCTTCAGATAATATAAATCTATCTTCAAACATAATCTATTAGTCAACGACTTCGATGCATAAATACCTTCAAGCTTATTCCACAAATTTTTCGGAGTACTCTCAGTCAACACACTGTACTTTACTTATGGAGCTAACGCCAACTAATAGTACTAACAGCCTTCTTCTGAATCCTATTCCAATTTGCATCAGACATTCTCTCAGGCTTACTACTTTCTAATGCCTGATCCAACCCTTATTATACTAACAGATCTTGAATCGTACTTTGCCATAATATAAAATTACTCTTTCCATCAAATAACTCAAAAATTTCACCTAATTGAACACATCTAGCATATTTTTTCACAATAGTAGGATCACTATAACTCACTCCATTGAGTTCGCCACCATAGAACTCAATAGTTACACCTACTTGTTCAACACTATACTTCGATTCTGCCCTTCTAAAAGGAACATCCACTCCATATTTCACTTTACCGAGAAATCGAAGAAGCTATACAAGGTTTTTTCGGACCTGCTCATATGATACCCAATCATATGGTATCTAAGCTCAAAAATTCTATGTTCTATGACACCGGTATCAATTCGTGTCTCTCCGGTTCAACTAGTACCATAGTTCCTGACGCGACTTTCTACGAAAATCAATAATGGAGATATCTTCCAAATCTAATCCACTAAAAAATATATTTAGTTCCACTAACAAATATATTTGATTCGTCCAACCCAAAATGGCCAACTCCAAACCCAATCCACTAACAAATAAATCTTTATAACTATGAAACTTTTAAAATGAAAAATGTCTCCTAAAACTCTTTACTCAAAACTTAACCCAAAACTCAATTACACTCTTTAATAGCCTAATGACTTAATTCTATCGATGTTTAACTCTCTGAGATTTTTAAACTAAAAATAAAATACCTTATTTATAAGTGTGAAATCCCTTATATTTTTACTAAACTTCCAATGTGGAATACTGGATAAATTCAAAACTCACTAACTTTCAATATGAGATTATAAGATTTAAGACAAATCCCAACAGATATGTGACTATAACAGTTTAAAAAAAAAAAAAGCTGTAACGAACAAACAGAAATTTTTGTAATCTAATGTAAAATATTCTAGGAATTAAAAGGGAGCTCCTCTGCAATGTGGTATATTTTTTGTGCTACATTGGTGCCTATGAGGTGAATTGGATGCTTTATGTTCAACCAATATGGTTTAAGATATTGAACTTTTACCGGTTCTAAGCATAGTAACGATTTCTGAAATGTGGGAAATCTTGGATCCCTGAAGGTTGCTCATCTCGGTGCATTTTTTCTTTAATCGAGGACACCTTGAAGTTTGGACTGTGAGGCTTGGTAAGACTTCCAAAGAAGGCAGATGCATGAGATTATCACATGAAATGATTCCCAACTCTTCAAGAGAGGAGAGGTTTGACAACCACTCAGGCAAGGCCTCTAGTCCGTGAAACCACTCTATAGCTAATACTTTAAGGGCAGTAAGTTGTTGAAGTTGATGAGGTAGAGACTTCAGCTTTCGCCATCCAATCAGGTGCAAATCTTTAAGCGAGGCTCGGAGGTGCTGGATGGAACTGAGACAGGGGAATTCCTCCAGATCTTCTGAGAAACCGCCAATCTTTAATGTTGACAAGCTGGTGAGGTTGCCAAGGCTGTCCTCCGGAATGCTCCTCAAATTTCGACACCACGTGATATTCAAATAAACAAGAGAATGAAGCTTCCTCAAATCTTCAGAAATGGATATCAGATTACGGAAACCAGTTATTGTCAGTCTCTCAAGACAAGTGCTGGATTGCAGTAAACTTGGTAGTAACGAAGACAAACATTCACCTGAAGCTGTGAAGTTCAATTCCTTCAGAGAGTAGAGTGCATCATTAATGGGAATGGACATCAGATTAGGGCAAAAGCATATGCTCAAGCTTTGGAGACGCGTAGAAGTAGACAGTCCACTCCCAGTCCACCTCAATTCCCTGCAACTATCAATACTGAGCAGCTCAAGAGATGAAAAGTCACCACTTATTGGAACACTTTTCAACTCGGAACACCGTTGAACTATCAACTCTTTAAGAGAAGAGAATCCATCCAATCTAGGAATGGAGCTCAGACAATCACAATCCTGTAGGATTAGATGTTTGAGACTAGTGGAAGTAGATAGTGAATCTCCTATATTGCTCAACTTTTTACACCCCACAATGCGAAAACTTTGAAGCGACGAACATTGTCCCATTATCAGAAATCTTTCCAACTCATTGCAGCCAAAAACTTGTACACTTTCAAGAGAGCAAAATCCTTCTAAACTTGGAATGAAGCTTAACTTAGGACATAATCTGATAAATATTTCTTTGAGACCAGTTGAGGAAGATAAGCCATTTCCTATATTGATCAAATTTTCACACTCTTCAATGTGGAGATTCTGAAGAGCTGAACATCGTCCCATTAATGGGACACTTTCCAACTTGGAACAGCCAACAAGCTCCAAGCTTTCAAGAGAGGCAAATCCTTCCAAATTCGGAATGGTGCTCAAACTAGAACAAAATTCTAGAGACAATTCTTTGAGACAAGTGGAGCTAGACAATCCATCTCCTATATTGCGTAATTCTGGAGACCCTTGGATGTGGAGCTTTTCAAGCGATGAAAATAGTCCCATTATTCCGAACACTTCCAATCTGCTACACTGCAAGAATTTTATACTTAGGAGAGAAGAAAATCCATCTAAGTATGGAACTGACCTTAAATTCTGACACCCTTCTATAGTTAGTTCTTGGAGACGTGTTGAAGTAGATAATCCATATCCCATGCTGATTAAATTTCCGCAACGGTGAACACGAAGCTTCTCAAGATATGAACACTGCCCCATTATTGAAACATTTTCCAATTCACCACAGTCAGAAACCTCCAGGCTTACAACGGGGGAGTTGTTTAAAACTGGAATGGAGCTTAGCTTAGAACAGCTTTTGATAGTTAATTCATTGAGACGATTCCAGTTGGAAGCAAACAATAGTTCTGCCCCTATGCTTCTCAATTCGTCGCATTGTTCAATATGAAGCTTTCGAAGAAATGAAGATTGCCTCGTTATTGGAACACTTTTCAACATGGGACACCTCCAAATATTCAACTCCTCCAAGGAAGGAAACATGACTGTTGTTGAAATTGTCACCCATTCTTCTAGTTTTGTCATGTCGTCCATAGTGAATTTTTTTAAAGCAGGAAATAGTGTGATTGAATCATCCAGACCAGGGCTACTGTTATTACAATAAAATTCACTATTTATACAGATCAAGCTCTCCACCTTTCTCAAGATAAGATTTTTGAGATTTTGAAGGTGCCCAAGAGTTGGAAGAATTTTACATCTATTGCAATTGATCAACTCCAGCTCCATCAAATTGTTAAGCAAAAACTGGCCTCTGGAACCATAAACATTTCCTGACATCCAAGAAGGAAAGCCCTCTCCTGTATAATTTCTGATAATTAAGCTACTCAAATTTGAGTAAGGTTGGAGACCTTCCAGCACTTCTTCATCATTACCGTAGCTTTCTGATCTCGTAGAGCTCCATTCCAATATCAGCTTGGATAAATTTGTTTTATGGCATAGATTTGCTCCCTTGGCATCTTCTTTGCCTCTAACATGTTCAAGCTTGCACAACTTCAATTTTCCACCAAGTTCGTTGAGGCATCTTAGCTCTTCTATCCTATGTCCCCTTTCTAGACCCACAACAAACAATGGCAACGTTTGAAGGCGAGTCAGGTTTCTCATCTGAATTGGTTGAAGGGTTTCATTATCAAAATGAATATGCTTCAAGCTTATCATGTTTCTTACATCAGCTGGAAGTTTAAGAAGCTGGCAACGCAAAAATCTTAGCGTTTGCAAATTGTACAGTTTAGTGATGGATCTAGGCAGTGCTCTGATACTAGTGTTGGAGATGTCAAAATACCTCAAGTGTTTTAATTTGCCAAGGGATGCTGGCAAATCATAAACATCAGAAGCATCGCGAAGTTTTAGAACCCGTAAGCTTTTAAATGTTCTTGACATTTTTCTGAAGACACTGGTATTTGCAAACAGAGTGTGCAGTTTTGGAGCAGCCACAGTTAAAACTGTGGGTAATGATTCCCCGTCAGAAATGACATTAAGATGCCGAATGTGCTGAGAAATCTCTGTGATAGAAGTGGAATCCCCCATCAGAACCAAAGATTCCAATTTTGAAACAGACAATGCAAAACCGCGCACCATGTCATGCATCTTGCAAGCTATAATATTCCCGCAGGAGTCCTTTTCCACATCTTGGAACAAAGAGTTTGATAACAAGTCATTGAAGTACTTGTTACCAATATCCATCATGGTCATGGAACTCCCTGGAGGAGGTTGAAGAAACCCCACAGCCATCCAAAGCTGAATTAGCTGTTCCTTTTCGAAGCAAAACTCCTTGGGGAAAATGGCACAATATGCAAAACACTTCTTTAGAGATGGAGAAGGCAACCGATCAAAGCTTAATTTCAATACACTTTCTAGGGAGCCCCAGATAACATTGCTTTCTCGAAAGTTCAACCATGCTTCTATAGCCATTTCATTGCGCATTGTCCCTCCAATAACTTTTGCTACTAATGGCACACCCTCGCATCTTCTAGCAATTTCCTTTCCTATTGACTGTAATTCCAGAGAAATTGGAGAATCCCCAAATGCTTTCTCTTTGATTATGGACCAACATTCATCATGTTCTAGTCTTTGTAGTTGATGCCCGTGATGAGGAAGTGATTGCACTTTCAATGCCACAATTTCACTACGGGTTGTGACAATGATTCTGTTTCCCTTACTTTTATTAACTCCCAACAAGCAAGACTTCAGGTCTTCCCACTTCTCAGTGTTCCACACATCGTCAAGTACAATAAGATACTTTTTTCGTTTCAACTTCTTCTTGAGTTTCTTGAGGATGCAATTCTTATTACTTTCATTTACTGGAATGTTATTGTTATCCATGAAATGTCCCAATATCTGACTGCAAATCTTTTTAACATCAAAATCATCCGACACACACACCCAAAATTTTACATCGAAGTGCCGTTTTACTTCCACATCATTGTACACCTGTTTTGCCAAAGTTGTCTTCCCAATACCTGCCATGCCAACTATGGCTACAACCGAGATATATTCGTCGTCAGTTGTGTTGACCAACAAGTCAACCACCTTTAAGACATCGTTTTTCCTGCCAAAAATTTTGGAGTCATCCAGGAAGGAGACGGTCTCCTCGTTTAGTCCTCCAGCTTGTGCATGAGAACTCAGGTTTGTCATTCTTTGTTGGAGACCAAACTGGTTGGCCATGTTGTTAAGGTAAACCAAGGATTTGTGGATGTCCTTGATTTTATTAGCCATCTGGAGACGAAATACAATTGGATTAGAGGGAGAAAAGAAGTGTTGTACCTTTCTGGAAGTTTGATTATGAGTCTCCTCTACTTTCCTTCGGAGAATTTCATAAGTGAACTCATCCAGCACATCATCAGCCTCATATGCAACATCTTTCAGCTTCTCTAGCCAAATGTTCATTGAGTTGCTTTTTTTCTGCCCTTCCTCTGCTTCTTGCAAGAAATCTTGAATTATGGCTAGTGAGTCACCAAGCTTTTCTAGCTCCTTCTTCAAACCCCACCCGGGTTTGACTTGTCCTGTTACGGCTGTTAAGGCTGAAATCACGCTTAACACCACTCTTTCCACCGTAGCACCGAGAATCATTTCTGCCATTTTTGCTTCAACTGTCTAAAGTCAAGAAATAAGTGAAAATGTCAGAAAATTCATACAAAAACCAAAGAAGAGAAAGCAATTTTATAGTACATATATATATATATATATATATATTGAAGGTTGAAAGGTTATACCAATTCCAGTGATCGAATAGAGAGAAAAAAATGCAGATGCTTTGCTTTTTGCTGCTTCTTTTTGAATGGATGCTTTATTGCTGCAATGTATTTTTCTTTTGATAATATAACTTGAAGAACATTTTGTCTCTTAAATAACAGGACATAGGAAGATAGCCTTGAGACTGTACTGTATCCAAATAATCATTTATCCATTATTTATTTATTTTTTTACTAAAAAAAATGAAATATTAAATATGTTGAATTATGAAGTGACGTTCAGTTGATTTATATAGATAACCTTGATTGATGAATTCAATTGATTTAAAATTTAAATTTGATCATTTACAATTATTTTTTTATTTTTAAATTACTGTTTTTTATTTAAAAAATAAAAATTTTAATTTTTTATACTATAATGGTTGTTTTTAGATTTATAAAATTAATTCTCTTTAGAATAATTTTAAAATGTATTCAGCATTTTTTCACATTAATTTAATATATTTATAATTTTACTTTTTTTAACATTTATCCGAAAACATTTATCCAATAAAACCTTAATAAGTGAATTCATTAATTATTCCAGTATTATTCTAATTAATATACAAAAGTATATACAAATATATATTTTGTACATGAGAAAATTAATCCATTAAACATAAGTAATTTGATGCAACGAATCACAAATTTACACGTAAGGTAAGATACATTAAGGTATCATGGGGCCATAGCTCAATGGTATCGATAATCAATTAGAATTTCCAGTCAAAGAAATTGAGCGAGACAGAACAGTACTGATCCCACGCTGGATCCCACTTTCATGAACTGTTGACAAAGCCACTTTGTCAGAGGATAGAGTAACTGCAGATAACAAAGAGCCACACACTTTGCCAAAGGTTAACAATTGTAAAGCCAATTTACCGAGGGTGGCAACGAAACGAGATTGATTACGATTAAATTAAAAAATAATAATAACTATTATTAATTATAATTAAAAAATTTTAATAAAAAATTTATATTAAATAAATTTTATTAAAATTAATATATAAATTTCGGTGCGGTGAAATAATGACCACCTAATTTCAAGTTAAGTGGTTTGGCATTTTTGTTCTGGGGCTCACTATGGTGGAGCCGCCCGTCAAGGTCGAGTTCAATTGTCATAGGTCGAAATTTAAGTTCTGAAATTACTCGGTTTTGGGATCAGCGTATCCATTTATCCGACATCTCAGATTAATTTTTGTGTCACAATTCATATATTTATGAGGTATTGTCCGTTCTGATCTTCTGATCTCACGGTTTTATCCTACAAAAGGCGCCTCACAAGGTGAAGATAGTGTGAATCTTTTTGTACTCCAATAACCCTCTTATTATGCTTAATGTAGGATTCAAGACTCTCCTTTAGGTCACCTTTTATACTCCAGTAACCCTTCTATTATGCTTAATGTGAGATTCAAGACTCTCCCTTAGGTCCGTGATATTCTTCCGTACCCAATCTCGTGACGTTCTCGTCACGAAAACTGACCACTCTGCTTATCTCCCTCGAGATGCTTGGCGTGGATCGAATGGTTTAAGGTTTGCTCTGATACCACTTGTTACGGGTCGAGACTTAAGCTTCGAACTCGTGCGGCTCTGGGACTCGGACATCCATTCATCCGACCTCTCAGATCAGCCTGACCGTTATGATTTACATCCTTATGAGGTATTGTCCGCTCGGACCTCTTTAATCTCACGATTTTATTCTACAAAAGATACCTCACAAGATGGAGATAATGCGAACTCTTTTGTATCTCAATGACCTTCCTATTATATTTGATGTGGGATTCAAGACTTCCCTTAAGTTCGTGACAGAATCAGCCGCCTGTTTCAACTTTTCTTTTTGGTTTTCATCTTTTGCCAAGTGGAGGAGCTGCTTTCACAAAAAAAAAAGACCAAATATAAGCAGTTTGTCGATTATGTATAAAATCAAAATATTTTAATCATGCTTAAAACTTAAAAGATCCTTTTTAACATAAACAGGTATAATAAATTTTTATTTGAGTATTATGTTTGATTTTAATGGAATTTTATAAAGATTTAATTACATATTTTATTTATAATTATTAAATATTTAATTTGATACTTAAAATTTAATATAATTTTAATTTTCTCGAGATGTTGAGGTATTTTTAAAATGGATGAATTTATTAGACCTTAAGAGGTATCTTTAAAAAAGTCAATTGTTTGATAATTTTATTAGATTATGTTTTTCTGTGTTTAGTATTTACTGAAAAATATAAAAATATTTGTAACATCAGATCTAAAATTTTATATTTTTTAACTAAAAAAATCTGAAATTATTCCAAAAAAGAGCAAAATAAAGCAGATTTAAAAAAAAAAAAAAATTGGGTGCATTGAAGAGCCACCAGCACTTGTTCTTCACTATTCTCCTTTGGTTCTAGGCTTGTTACACTTACCTAAATTTCAAAGGATTTAATTAGGGAATAATTGATTGAATTTGGGTGAATATAATATTAAATTTGAGTTTAAATTTAATTCGTAATTTAAAATTTAAAATTCAATTCAAATTCAATCGATTTTTTTTGTTTAAATTTAATTTAAAATAAAAATTAAATTACTCAAATTCGTTTGATTATATTCAATTAATATATAAAAATAAATTTAATTCTTATATTCAATAAAAATTTAATTATGTATGTTCAACTTTGAATTTAAAATATTTTATTAATTAAAATATATTAAAATATAAAATTTTAATTAAATTCATAAATTACTTAAATTATATATAAAAATATTTAAATTCAATTTAATAAATAAATTAAATTATTTAAATTTAAACTCGATTCGATAATAATTTAATTAAAATTTTATTTTATTTTATTTAAATTTAAATAATTTATTAAATTAATATATCATTTTCAAATTTGACACCCAATCAAGAGACTTACCATTGCAACGTCAACTGCCCATCAAAACCCAGATACTTTGCAATCAATGGCCACATCTACAACGTCATCTCTGACGCAATTTTACAAAGGTGAGCAAGAAAGATATTTGTTTCAATCTGATGGTCTCTTCGCAAAGGAGATGGGTGTCAAGAAATTCGGGAGAGGCCGTCTTTGTCGAAAGGGGAGGAAGGTGTGGTTGGCTGCTCGCTGGACGGAGAGGAAGCTAGTCGTTCTAGATTGGGGTCATGGGTTCATGACTGCTTGATAGGTAGAAGACTTGAGTTGATTTGTTGTAGAAATTGTCTTCTGCCCAAAAAAAACCGAAGGCAATTTCTATGTTTTGCCTTACTTTTTCCGTTGACTGTAAGCTATTTTCGGTTGACCATACTATTGTATGTTATCCAAACAATAAAAAATGAACAAATAGACTTCTGAAAATTATTTCCATGCTTATCAAAATGAGAAAGACTTGGATGAATTATCATAAATAAATTTTACAAAGTTTTTTATTAAAAATGATTAAATAAAAATTAAAATTAAAAAATTTTGTTAGATAGATTAAGTGTGTAAAATTTAAAAAAATTTAATAAATTTTTATATATTTTTAAATATATATTTTTAGTAAAAATATTAATAAATTTTTTATCATTAAATAAGTATAAAATAAATTTGAATTATAAATAAATTTTTTATATATTATTAATTTTTACATTAAATTTTATTAATTTATCGATTTAAATTTTTTATTAAAATTTTTCTTAAATCATTTTTAAAAAATTTTATAAATTTCAATTAAAAAACTTTATATAAATTTTGCCCACCAAATTGAGCCTAAAAGAATGATATTCCTTTCATGTAGGATTCCACTTGAATAAAGAATAGCATTTATATTCTTTAAACTCCTTTAAGTGATTTTTCAAAAATTATTCTGCCATGTTTATTTTTACTTTTTCTCTTTCTTTCATTCGCTGCGGTCAATTTTAGTGATTAGGGGTGTTCATTTTATTAATTTAATTAATTTTGAATTAAATTATTTTATTTTTATTAATCAATTCAAATTTATTAATTTTAAAAATTAATCGATCAACTTAAATTAAACTAATTCAGTTAATTTTTTTGATTAATTAAATAATAAATATATTTAAGTTAATTTTTTTTTAAATTCTTAATTTTTTATATTTTAAATAAATTAAATTAAATTATTTAACAAAATATTCAAATACTAAAAATTATATTAAAAACTCTAAAACTTATGACATAAAATGATATATTTTATGTATTTTTCATTTTGTATTTGAATTTTATTAAATTTCGATTAAAATTTTGATTAATTTGATTTTGAAACCTAACTAATCAAAATTTAAAAATTTTCTAAAATTATTTTTATTAATCGATTAAAATTAATGTGATAATCAATCAATTGATCGAATTAAACTAAGTCAATCGATTAATTAGATTAAAATCAAATTATAAATACTCTAAATAGCAATTGATGGATGAATTATTATGTGTATGAATTATTGGAAGCATGATCTTAGATATCTTATGCCATTTGAACAACTTGAATTAAATGTATAAATAATACATTAATATTCATAAATTATTCAAGTTTAATTCAAATAAAACTTAAATTTGATTCGATTACCATCGAATCGAGTTTAAATTCAAGTAATTTGATTTATCAAAAGAATTAAATTTAAATATTTTAATATATAATTCGAATAACTCATAAATTTAATTAAATTTTTATATTTTAATTATTTTAATTAATAATTTATTATTTTAACCTTAATATACCCAACTAAAAAACTCTAATGTATTTTTCATTTGTTTTTTATTTCTTTATTTCGCTCTAACTCCCAACTCGAATATGCGGCGCCTGCTTTCCTCTTTCTTTCTACCCCAAAAAATCTCGACCAGCTTCCTCTCTGTACCGATCGACCACAACAATACAAAAAATTATTGGCGACGGTTGCGAGTTTCTGGGTTTATGATTAGTCTTCCTGATTAGTACAAAATTATTGAACAGGAAAACCACAACACTTATAGCTAGATTCTGGGTTTTTGAACCAAGCTTGGATGTGTTATTTTCTTCTCTCAGTTTTTTTTTTTTTTAAAATGTCATGGTTTGTTTTTGTTTGTTATTGATCATTTTATGAGATGCTTCTTATATTGAAAGGTAAAGCTATTTAACGTTTTTTTTTTTTTAACATAGCTCCAACTCATATTGTGTGGTTGGTTTTAGTAAAAAGTGAAATTTTTATGTTTGATTATTATTTAAAATTTAATAAAAATCGTCTCGCTCTATATAAAAATTTAATTTTCACTAACATGTTGCTCTACTTGTTGTTTCACTTATGTATTCAAAATATTTTTAGATTTGATCATTATCTTGTTAAACTTGCATTTTTCTACTCATTTTTTTTTGTTTTTTAATTTTAATTGAGTGATTCAAGTTTTAATTAATTCAATACTTAATATCTTTTATATATTAATCGAATTTAATCAAGTGAATTTTAAGAACTTAATTTTTATTTTCAATCGAGTTTTAATTAAAAAATAAAATTTAATCAAATTCAAGTTGAATTTAAGATTTTAAATTTCGAATTAAATTTAAATTTAATATTAT